TATTTATAGTGAGATAAAAAATAATTAACAGACATGTGATCAATAGGATAAGAAGTGTACACACACATAAACTCACATAAAAAAATCAAGGGTTAATAAGTGAGTAATCAACAAGGTCAAAACGTGACTCAAAATGGAAACGTGAATGGGCTTGTCCAGAAGCCAGAATAGGGTATGCAAGCTCTGCATATCAATCAACACTGTGTGGTGCCGTGCTTTAATAATAGTTCACTTCGATAACCGTTATAATTCTAATCTTAACGGTGCATAATATCAGAAGGCAAAAGGAAGTGGCAACTACATTTTTTATTGATAAATGATGCCGACCAGAAAGTTGTAAGTACACGAGCATATGTTAGTGAGCGAAGCGAAAATAATGCATATTGGAGATGGCTGGTAAGCCAACTCGAGAGCGAAGCTAAAATAATGCATATTGGAGATGACGGGGAAGCCAACTCGCTATGAGCAAGCATTACTCAACATTTATAGTCAGACAAAAATGAATGACAGACATATGATGAATAAGATACGAAGTGTGCATACATATACGCTCATGTAAAAAAGTAGCCAAGGTTAATAAGCGAATAATGAACAAGATCAAAATAAGACTCATAATGTATAGGTGAATTGGCTTGGCCAGTAGCTAGACTAAAGTATATGGGCTTAACATGACAACCGATACTACAACTACAGGTTCACATGGCTGTTTTATGGTAAATCAAAATGACGGTTACAGAGTGCTCAGAGCAATTAGAATTAGTCAGAAAAATTGAAGAGTACTGTCAGGGAGATGAAATGATACATTTTGGATTCAAACCATACGGAGTGCTTATTCTACTGGATTCATTTGGTTATGACTGCTTTCTTGCTTTGATTGCTGGGAATCAACTAACACTTTAATCTCTATATGACTCATCTATTCAATAGTAGAAATAATGTAAAGGTTAGCCATTCGAAAATAACACTAGTTACATTCAAACGATAATCTGTAGTGTTTGTGCCAAACAATTACCACATTTCATGAACCGAGGTGAGTCCGGTACATTTTCTATTATTGATTCTAATACCAATGAGTACATTCTAGATTGTGCAGACTTTATACCGAATACACAGCCGGACATACCTATGATTGGGCTAAGGAGGAGATGTACAACAGGTGATGGGAATGTAGATTCCATTTAATCTGTTAACGTTCTGGTATTTGTGTAAATTGAAATTTTTCGCTCTTCACCACTCTTTTATCCTTAGGTGATAGATATTTTTCATCAACTATTCCTGTTATTATGAGGAGACAGTCATGAATCCAGGGTAAATGTGATGTTTAAATAAATCAATGACTTCTTCGTCTTGATGACTGTTGTAATTTTGAATTCAAAAATACAATACATTCGTTCGGGCTCATCTAATACTCCTTGATTACACTGCGTTATTCCGGGGATCACTAGTTCATACTACAATTCAAATACTTCTGATCATCATATTGGCGTCGCGATTGAGCCTGTGATGGAACGGTTGGATATAAATTCAGATTTTAATGCTTTTGAGGAGTACATGGAGAGGTTCGAAATCTGGGCTTTGACCAAGGAAGATGATGAAGATTTCAATATTGTGGCACATTTTCTTACATTCATCGGTCAAGAAGCCTACAGTTTACTAAAAACCTTGGCATATCCAGATAAGCCGATTACACTCCCATATACAACTCTCAAGGAATTACTATTAAATCATGTGAAGTGCACCAGTTTTGAATGTCGTGAGAGAGCAAAATTTCATAAGATGATTCGTCAGGATAACCAGAAGGTTAAAGACTTCATCCTTGAATTGCAAAGACAAGCTGCCAAATGCAATTTTGGTGATCAACTTCATGTACAGCTGAGAGATCGGTTAATTGCTGGAATTACCATACCAGGTCTAGAAAAGGAGCTGTTAAGAATGCCGAACTGTTCTTTTCAAGATGCTAGAACTGCATGTATTAACTACGAAGCAGTGTATGAACTTGATATTCAATCGATGAAAATTTCTAATACTTTGCTTAGTCGTCATGATGAAATACAATTTCAGGGTCGATCAAATTTGCGTTCGTTTAATCGTGATTTCGATTCTCGTGAAAATATGAAAGGTGATTCAACAAGGGACTGCCAAGGAAGCAACAGAGGTGAGAATAATTTTGGTAAATGCTTATCTTGTGGCAAATTTCATTCTCGTAATTTATGTGCATTTCATAATGCTAAATGCTTTAACTGTGGTGAAGCTGAACACATTCAGTCAGTTTGTAATACCATGCTTCATTTTGCTGTAAGTAATGCTAAGATGGATGTTTCTGATGATCAGTTATCTTTATCTAGAAGTGGTATAACGTTATATAACAGTCCAAAGTTGAATGAAGCCCACAGTTATTGGGAGACGAAAATTCCCAACCAACCAACTGATCAGATTTCTCATGTTATTGTACCAAATATGGTTTGTCATAATGATTCACATACTTCTGATGAAATTTCCTACAACTCTGAGAATAAAATGTTGAATGAGTCGAATCATGATCAAAAACTGGATTCACTTTTAGTAGATGCTGATTTTTCTAATGATCCATTATTCTCTAATGAAACTCTTAATCAATTTGAGGAAAAGTGTCAGTGGTCCTCACAATCAATTTATCTCTAATGATATTCCTAATGAATGTGAAAAATATGTTCCGAATGAGTTGAATTCTAGTCATATTTCTGATGTTATTGTGTCAGATGTTGAATGCTCTTACAAACAATGTATGTTGAATAGAATCCCTAGTCAAGGGCATGATGAATCAAAGGAGATAGCAAAATTTACCGAAATAATCAGAGAACTAGTTTGCCCAGAAGTGAAGTTTGCACAGGTAGATAATCCAAATCAAGTTCAACATTATCCTAATGAATATGAGGCAGATGAATGTTTTCTATTCGATTGTTTCGCAGGTAAATCAAGCCTAGTTGAATCACATGTGTTAATTACATATATCAATGCATATCCATCTGTGTATTCTAATATGAATAACAAAAAGAATATGTATCATGATTTTTATTCAAGTCAAAGTCACATGATGGAATACCTCAAATTATATATCAGTGTTTATCCCCAAATACTCATATACAGTAGTGGATGCGTGATATTTGAGAAGATACTGCAAATTGGAAATGTCATATTGGCTAAAACATTGCGACATAAGGACCCAACATTATTTCGTGGGGGAGGATATTGTTGGAAAGTATATGATGCAAATTCTAAATATCAATGGTTTCACTACACAACCGACATGCTGATTGTATACAATTCTAGAACCCAGGTGAATCTGTTCCAATTTCCGTTGTTAATTCTAATACTAATGAGTGCAATCTAGATATTACAGAGTGTACATTCAATACACCATCGGATAGATACACCTACACTTCAATTCGAGCTGTGGCGGATGTGATGTTTAAATAAATCAATGACTTCTTCGTCTTGATGACTGTTGTAATTTTGAATTCAAAAATACAATACATTCGTTCGAGCTCATCTAATACTCCTTGATTACACTGCGTTATTCCGGGGATTACTAGTTCATACTACAATTCAAATACTTCTGATCATCATAGTAAAATTAATATGAAAGCTTGTTGTTAACTAAATAGGACCGATTTTCTAGCCTGTGTTGCCTCAGAAAGACCCATTATTTATTCCTTCCATAGCTAATACTACGGCTGTATGCGGTGAAACTTATCTGTGTTGAATGCTCCCACAAACCTCAACTGACTGTACTCGTACAAAATGGTGCTAAAGAAGTGAATAAGGGATGTGACTGGAAGATAGTGTTTCATGCAAACGCCTATAGCCGCAAGGAAAACATGAAATTAAATGATAATTTTTACCGGGTCGTTTAGTCAAGCGTCAGTCAGCTTGTAAATAAGGGAGGCAATGTATAGGACACAAATGAGTAGACAGAATTATACGGAAAAGCACATAAGTAAGGATGTATAAGTTTGGAGTGTTGTAGTTGTTCGTAGTGTAGAATTAATAATAAGATAAAAGTGGGTCTGTGGTCACATATTATTGTGATTTTTAGCATATGATACTATGACTCTGTATACAGGAACGGACATTAGTACTTTGTAGCCGAAAGCTTGTTCCACCTCCGTGAATGAACACTCGAAGAAAATGTAGTGCTCGTGAGATAGAGATTTAAATTTACCGAGAGGGTTGTTGACTTGCGTATACTACGAAATGATATTTAGGCCAAAGTCTATCTCTAACAACAAAGCTTTTGATTATGCATTGGACATGGAAGGAAGGGCAGATGTGAAGCGTTTTGTAATCAATAAGAACTCTAAGGAGCTGAATATTTTTCATCTCAATATAAGGTTGCGGAGATTTTTAAATTACAGTTATGCCACGAGTCGTTTCCAAGTTGGATAATCATTGAAAATTTCGAAGAACTAGACAGTTGTCCCGTACAACTATGAGACTCATCGGCCGAGCGCATTCAAAACCTTGAATCCAGGAATAAAATCTAAGGCCTTCAACCTCGAAATCGGAAGCGTAAACTTTGGACCACTGAGAGTGTGTATAATGGTAATTAAGATACCGCAGGTATTGTAGTTCGAAAACACTTTAACCAGCAGCACCTTCTACCATAAATCATACTAATTTAGTAAAAGCAAACGTAAGAATCCAGGGGGTTCGGAGATATATTTGATTGGTTATCAACATATCGGGAAGTGGCTGGTTTAATCTGGCTAGAGATCGTAGGAGAAGCTGGGCACGGCGTTCTTACTCGTGATATGGTGCGGATGCATGACCAAGCGCCCTCAGCTAAGTGAGTCCAATAGAAATTATGTGGTCAGTATCCAATGTCGATGACTTACAGAGCTGTTGATTTTAGGCAATTATTTATCGATACAGTAAACTGGAATAACAACGACAATAATAATAGGAATCAGCTGTTTCCTTATGAATCATGTGTAGATTTAATAATAAATTGTACAAAGTACATTTCAACCTTCACAGTCCCACAGTCAAATTATTGCGGTTTCAAGGTCGCCATGGATTATTATAGTTATCAGCGGGTTCGCCGTTCGTAGTCATTTATTCTAAAAATAGTCAAAAAAGCATTTTAGACTCCTTTAGCTACCTCACGGATATAGTTAAGAGGTTTCGAAGGACCTATAAACCGTCGCGTCACATATACTTAGTGTGAAGAATGTTAAACCCTGAGATGTTTCTTGACTTGGATACAGAAAATGATGTTATGCAAGACACAGTAGTCGCTTTCACTTCACGACACTTGACAGAAGCGATTGAAGGGCAAGTGTTATATCGGGAAAAATATCACAAGGAAAAGGTAGTTTTTCTGCAAACGTTCATATTCAATAGATTAAAACTTTAACAGTTGCTCTGGTTATTTGCCTAAATATTGATATTGACCCTCCGGATGTACAAAAAATTCCACCTTTCTCTAGAGTAGAAGCATGGGTCGACCCAACCGATGCTAATAGTCTACACGCCCTCGGGAATATCGGTAAAAATCTTCAGGTAGGTGAATCGTTAATATCGTGTCTTAATATTATTTGTTGTAACTAATTAATTATGGATTCACGTTTTTGCTGATTTTCATAGTGTTAATGTCACCTTTAGGTTGCTTTCGTATCGTAGAATGTTTTTGTTTTTAAACGTTTTAGTTGACAGGTTTTCTAGAAATTTCCCGTAGTTTCATGTGGTCAATCGTCATATTTAGATGCAGCTCTTGGAAATAAGGCAATGATGAATCGTCCACTAATCAGTAGTCTAACTATTCGTCTAGTTCTGATCATTAGTGATCATTTTTCCTAGCTCGCTAAAATACATTATTGACTAGTAGCTAATGTTTCTGATTTTAAGTTAATTGGTAATGTTTTAGTCTTGATTCATCTATCACCTGTGTGTGCAGTTCGAAGGGACTCAAAAGACCTTCGTTTATTTTCTGTCGCATCTTAACATGTATTTATTTTTGTTTTTGGGTATTCGGTCTTGCGAAAAGCGTCCACTTGTTCGGCAAAACTAGTTGACGTATTGAGGAAAAGCCCTGTGCTATGCTTCCAGTAACTTACACCTTTTATTACAGTTATTTCTCGAGCATCAATTCAAGCCATTTCATATGTGGTACGTAATTTTCAGATTCATGAAACTGCAAGCTTTACAGTCCAATACTTTGTTGAGTGCATTATTTTATATATTGTTTACGAATATCGTGAAAACTGATAACTTTACATCCTCATCAGGCTTTGCTTTGACGATGATCAGCCGAACAAAGTAAAATAAAAAAAGTAACAAGATTTAGTTTTGTTAATTTCCAGCTCTCTTCGACCACCAAAATTTCCACATTATTTGAATCTAAATCTTTTCTTGTGACGAAATTCTTTCATAGGAGTGTTTAGTTTGGCGAGATAAAGTAACATATGACAGCTCCTTTATATCGGGTTCCTTAGAACATTGGAATTCTAACGTAGCAATTATCATCTTATCACTTGTTCTACGTGGTCGAGATACATTGAATCATTATATCAGGTTTTAATTTTTCTTGATAATCTGAACTTTTTACAATAGTATTGGGTTTGATTGTTGTGATCTTTGGGATTTTACAAATTAGCGATTATACACCCTGTATGTCAATTTACCAGACCGATCATGATGGTTCAGTTGCATTCATTGTTTTAGTCTCGCCATCTGTCCTGTTATCAAAAATGTTGCACTTAAAAACGAAACATTGTCCTACTAAATTCTTCAGTTTTATTCATTTACCCTCCGTAAACTCGTATTCAGATATTTTTTTTACACTAACAAGCAGGTTTTTTCCACCTAGATCCAAATTACCTGGTTATCAAGCACATTTGTTCTCCTTTGTGAACGAACTCATTAGCAGCGTGCAGATATCTGGTTAGAATGATCGTATTTGTGAATGTACCTAACGGACTTTTTCTAGTTAGTATTAGTGACAGCTTTGTAGTCCTCATATTGCGCAGGTGTGATTTTATCGACCATAATTAAATTGTCAATAGAATTGGAGAGCAACATTGTGTGTCCATGAGATGAAATTCCACGTAGAAAAATTACAGAAATCATTTTCTTTGAATAAGTACTTTATAAAGCTTAAAGTAGTCCAAATCACTGTTAGCTTTCATGTTTTATTAGTTTTAGTTGTAGTACGTACTATCTCTTTCGGTGATTTAATGCCCTACTTTTATTTCTCAGGCCCAGTACGAACGATGGCAACCTCGTGCCAGATATAAACAGTGCCTTGATCCAACTTTAGATGATGTGAAAAAATTGTGCCTTAGTTTAAGACGTAATGCAAAAGACGATAGGATTCTATTTCATTATAATGGACATGGTGTCCCTAGACCCACCGAGAATGGAGAAATATGGGTTTTTAACACGGTAAGTATAATTGCGTGTGCTCTTTGAGGATTTTTGTACTTTGTGTCGTACTTTAGACTGTATTGTTATGCATTACTTTGTGAGCTGAATTTTAAATTCTACTGTCTATATGTTAGTCGTCCAGGATTGACATTTTTCAATATAGTAGCTAAATACATGTTTATGTATTCAAACTTAAGCCATACGTCTGGTGGCCCTTGGCTTCTAATATTTCTTGAGTTTTTGAGTAGTTTCAAGTGTGTACACTCCGTAATTTTAAGGCTTTGATACCTTGAATAGTGAGGTGTGAGTTTTGTAGGTCTGACCTTTTGTAACCCATTAATTTTATTGAAAGAAGGCAACATCAGTGCAGATGCTGGTTGTCTGAATGAAGCATCTTACCGGCGTCGCAATGTACATTGTCGGGAGTATTATCTTAACCTCAAAACCGGCTACTCAAACCGAAATCTGTAAAGTAGGGTCTGATACATTGTAGCTACTTGTTTAAAACCGAGTATTTTAACCCGTAAACACCAGTGTCCCACATGGCCATGCCAAGATATTTACTTAACAAACGTTTATGTGAGAAACTAAAAAGAGTTAGAAAAAAATTTCCATCAAGTTCGTATTTTAGGAATAGATCTAAAGAATCTATTAATCAGTTTTTGCTCACAATCTGTACACTGTTCTAAAATGTGTACAAAATAATCCTCTATTCCTTTATGTGATATGATGTAAGAAGCCATGTTTGATTTACAATGTTAGTATCTTACTGACTGACTTTCTGATTTCGAGTAGTAAAGATGAATGGTAATACGAATGAAGCTGTGAAATTGTATCATTTGAAGTATAATTTGGTTACATAAATAAGGGTTTGTCTGATCGAGTATAGGCTACCTAAATTTTTAGAATACCTATGAATAATCCACTTCTCAGGTAAATGCTTACTTACGGTTAGGTCGAGGAGGATTACCGGGTTTCGTATTTTCGTAATGAATAAATAGATTGTCCCTTGATAGATAAATGGAACAACGACACGTGATTTCGTGATGGATTGTCAAGAAATCTGATTGTTGATTAGAATCCCCACTAAAAGAGCTGAGTTCAAGGACAAGTTCACTCGCCAGAAGAAGAGGTTTCTCATACGATAAAATATTATTTATTTGCAAATTATTACCGAAGAGATAAAGTGATAAAGTATCATAAACAATTTAAAGTGTTCATCTTTGTTGACCACTACCTCGCAAATATGTTCACTCTTTGTGTTCTTGTAGATCTTGAGTTCCAGTATTCCTTATACAAACCCTCATATTCCATTATTTTTCCTTTTTTTTTCGAAAAATCAACTTCATCTTGCCTTATTTATTGTGGTTACCACAGGTATATGCATCCTATAACACAATCTCTTTTGACTCTTAAGAATTAGTGAGTTATTACTTAAATCATTCAAATTCTAAACAGATAAATCTTCTGTTTGAACCTGATTTCTTCTACTTTAGTTAGTAAAGTATCATTTATCTACGAATAGCAAAATATTGCTCTAAGCTGAATAAATCACACTTCATTTTATTATTTATGTAAACACAAACATTGATACAAGGAGGTATCAAACAGATATGCACCACATAAATCATTCGATTTGTATGAGGGCTGGGATACTGCTTGGGTGCCCAGACAGTAGCAGGTGGTTTGTATAGGGGACCACACCCCGATTCGTTGACCTATATGTCTGATCCTAAGGCGGTAGAGCAATGTTAATCTGATACAGTCCCATGGTAGTCGGTCACCAACAATTGGTTCATACGCCATTTGTTCCTTCACGATACTGTAGCCGATGTGCACCATTGGTTTGGAATGGTGGTTTTCCAACTCCCCTAGATGAACTTTCCGTGTCCACCAACCGCGTTAAAGCACCGGACATTCTCTTTTCTTCCTCTCAATTTCGTAAACAAGAATTCTGCTTGGAGAAGGCAGTGTGTAAGACTTCCGTGTCAGTGGTTGTATGTATGTGGTCATTTGATAGCATTTCGAGGAGGAGAGCAGACTCTCCTCACTCTCGGCCGTACCAGGGCATAATTATTAAATCATTTATACCAAATTATAGGTTTAATCTTTTTAAAAACATTCAGTAGTATTTATTTTGATATATGGGACTGCATCTCCCAACATTGCTTCACTGCTTTGTGGATCAGACCTTTAGGTCAAAGGCTCCGAGTGTGGCTCCCCCAATAAAACCACCTGATTGGGTCTGGGTACTCGGACAGTAATCCAGCCCTCACACAAATCGAATGATTTATATGGCGCATATCTATTTTTTGCCTCCTTGTACCAATGTTTGTGTTTAAATAAAAGTAAAATAAAAAATTATCAGCCTTTATTATTATTGTTCAACATTGTTCAACAGTTGCAGTTCTAAACATCAATGGGGAGATTCGAACAAATAATACTAAGTGAATTTAAACTTCACCCCATTGCACAAGCAAGTGGCTATCAGGACGCGATGGCGTTTGAAGCAAACGGTACTGGGTTCAAGTCCCAGAGTGAACATCAACTCAGATGCAGGTACATCCAGCAGACGAGTTGTATATGGGATGAAACGCGCGTCCTGGATTCCACTGCTAGCCACTATCCATTTTTGATTGTTCAACAATGCTAATTTGTATGTGTTTTTGTTTTTTAGAAATTTACTAAATATATACCATTATCATTATATGATCTACAAAGATGGTTAGGTGCTCCAACTGTTTACGTACTAGATTGTCAAAATGCTGGAAGAATAATACACATGTATGAAGTTTTCTGTGAACGCCGAAAAGCTGAAGTAAGTAATATATCAAAGTTCAATTGAAAAAAGAACAAATAAACTATCTCTAAATAATTTCCTTATAATATAGGTCCATGCATATTTAGCTTTTTTTAGCTATACATTTAATTATTCGGTTTGGGGTGTACTATACCACGAAAACTATCTGTCCATTCGACTATTAAGTATGTTAGTTCTAGTGCATATATATGAGGTCATGAATCTCCATCGACTGAGATGGTTAGACCACGTGTTACGTATGCCTGAACACCGATTACCACGACGTGCTATGCTGACTAGTATTGGGGGGGGGATGGTTGGAAGAGAGTTAGGGGTGGCCAAACCAAAACGTGGCATCAGTGCTTGAAGTCACTAACTTCTAGTCTAAGCCATGTTGGTAGATGCAGACTACTTGGTCAGGGTCCGTGTGACTATCGTAACCAATGTTTGGAGACTCTGGGTGACATGGCTCAGAATCGATCACAATGGTGTGGGTGTATACACTCTTTATCTTCCCTTAAACTATGAGATTCAAATTACTTCATATCTGTCTTCCTTACTGCACTATATTCTTATATACAACCTTTGTTTTATATATTACCACCACAAAATTAACTACTTTTATGAATTTGGTGTTCATCTTGTTGTGCTAATGAATGAGGTATGGCAACTTGGTCCGATGTATATGTGTGCCTAGTCCTACGTTTTAGCTGACTGACTGACTGAGTGCATGTATATGTATATACACATAGACCTTAAGTTCAGAGCTCGTGCTTATGAGGATCTTCTAAGAAAAAATATCTGTTTAGTTTTCGGCGCCTGAGTTTTATTCTATCCCCTCACATAAATTATAAAGCATAAATCTACACTTGTCTACTGAATTACACTTAAATCTCAACTAGGTATGTTTCTTTAACTGCGGTTGTTATAACTTTTCTTATTCCGACCCAGCCATTCCTATTGCTTAGTAATCTTGGAGACCAATTCACTCGACAAGTACCCAAATCAGAATGCAGTTGAATAGGAAATGAGTTATATTCCGAATAACAAGGGGTAGATAAAGTAAGAAGCTCAATAAGAAGTACGTTAGGATATTTATTTATTTACTTAAACACATAAATATTGGTACAAGGGGGCACCAGATATATATGCGCCACACAAAACAATGGGAATGGGAAGAGAAAAGGGGTAAGATGCATATATAAAAATAAGAGTAATGATGGTGGGAACTGAAATATACAACTAGAAGAACTCTTTCAGTTAAAGAGGTTATGACCACTCTTTATGAGGAAAGTAAAAGAAGTTTACAGCAGGATCGCCACTGGCTTCTATTCTGAGCCATATCTGATAACGTCTTTAGCCACTGTGTAGCACTATCTCTTGGACCCTAGCCAGGGAGTTGTGAATGACCAACAGAAGCCAGCTCTTTGCAGCTTTCTTTCATACCACAACACCATGTCATACGCTGACTACCTCTCCGCTTTTTCCAACCAGTCCCAGCGTCGGCAAGTAATGCACGACGTCGAATTCTCTAGGACAACATTCGTAGAATGTTTTTACATGAGAAGATTTTAGAGTCTTCTCCATGCATCGACTAACGCTGATTGGATAAGAACTAGTCAATCAGCGTACACTAACACAATTGTGCATGTAACATGCTTTAATCTAATCTGTCCCGCTAACAGCAGTAATACAAGGTCATAGAATGAAATATTATCTAATATGTTATGTTATAGTGAATAACATCCATACCTATCACACTTTTATTGTTCTGTGTTCATACACTGTGTTGTAATTTTTATAGGATTGGTGTATTGATTTTCATTCATTCATGACTGATTTTATTTATTTACTATTTAAACACATAAATATTGGTACAAAGTGGCACCGAATACATATGCGCCACACAAATCTCATTTGATTTGTGTGAGAGCTGTGATACTGCCCAGGTGCCCAAACTGAAGCACGTGGTTTCCTTAGGAGATCACACCCGGAGCCTTTGACTTGAAGGTCTTGTCCACAAGGCAGTGGATCATCGTAAGGAGATGCAGTCCCACGACAGCCAGTGACCAATGATTGGTTCATACGCCATTTGTTCTTTCATGATACTGCAGTCCATGTTTACCATTGATTTGGAATGAGGGTTTTACAACTCCCCTAGGTGGACTCACCGTGTCCACCAACCCTGTTAAAGCGCCGGACATTCGCTTTTCGTCCTCTCAATTTCGCAAACAACACCCGTGGTGCGAGAAGGCAGTGAGTAGGACTTCCCTGATAGATGCTATGTACGCGTGGCTATGTGAGAGCATTTGGAGAGGGAGAGCGGACTCTCCCCACTCTCGACCGTACCAGGGCATTTGGGAGCTTCTCGGCTCTCTGAGCTAAGATCATGTTCATGACTGCCTACTGATTAGTTTTACGAAGTAACAATACTATGTAAATAACTACTTCTAAATTCGTTCATGAAATTGACCTACATAATAAACCCATTATCATATTTCATATTAGTGTACTGATGTTGTGATTCCAATTATGTTTTAAGGCGAAAATATACTACTGAAATCTCCGCAGATGACGGTAAGATTCAAGTTAAAACGATGACAATTTCTTGGCTGTTGAAACATTCGAATCACTAGTCGCTAATAAATTGAATCACTTTCTGAGCTGTCGACTATTGAACCTATTATGTTGTTGATCTTAATGTAGTTCTTGTGGCTTCATTTAATGTCACATAATCTAGTCTAGAAGTGAATTATTATCTGAAATAGTTGGAATATGCATTACTTATGGCCACTCACTACCTACTTCGACATGTGATGCTTGTCGGTATAGGAGTAGGTTGGAAGAAAGCTATGGGCTGACCAAACCAAGATTCAGCATCAATTTATAAAGACATTGACTATTGAACTTGATTATGTTGCTAGGGATAAACTGTCTTGTAAGAGTTCATGCGATACCCACGACCGGTGGTTCTGGGCACTATTTGATATGCCTCAGAATCAATCACAGTAGCCCAGGTTGGTTCAATCTTTGTCTTTCATTGAGTCTCAAGTTTGAAAATTTATTTTAAAACTAAACAATTCATTTTGCGGATTCATTCTATCTTCTTCACCCATGTTATCAGTGCCCAATCACTTGCACACTCCATCACTCAACCCTCTTAGTGCAGTTTTGTTCTCCGAGCAGGACGGTTTGGTCGTCGAGCTTTCATCGTTCTTCTGAACGACACCATCAGCACAAACTTCTGGCAAGAGCGAAGTGTTCAAATTTCTCTGCATGGGACTCACAGGTTGTCCTGTAGGCCCCGATCTTGATTGGTTATTGTTGATATTTAACCTGTCGTTGTTTACTTTTTTATTTTGACTACATCTCGCATTGATTTAATTCTTGGTCCTTTGCTTTTATCGGAATTGGGGTTTGTCAAGATTATAGTAATTTTAATAGTTAAATTCTTGAGTTTGATTGGTTGATAAATTTGATCAATTTCAATGTGTGCCAAGCTTCTAAAAATTCTTTGATGTTTCTAGAATTTCTTCTATCCAAGATTTCAACATTTTTTCAGTCGAATATGTGTCCACATGCATTGATATAAGCGAGGATACGTCATGGAGTTTGGCCGCTAATTGATGTTTGTGCAGGCGAAGGTGAAGAGTGCGTTCACTTTCCCCGATGCGTTTTTCGCAGTTGGCATAATTTATTTTGTAGATGATGTTCGATTTTTCTTCTGTCATTTCTTTCTGTTGTGTGCGTAGGATCGATTGAAGTGATTTTGTAGGTTTGTGTGCTACACTTATTCCGCTTGAGCTACAAATCTCCATTATTTCAATCCTCTTCCTCTGTTCTCTTTTTTCCTTTCATTGCAATCTTCCGCTGATAAACATTTCAGTTCTTGCTACATATACTATTTATATCTGTCCACATAAACAGCGCATACTACACTACCAGTGATGTTGTTATTTCTTTAACTATTTTAGCCGTGCTAATGTAGTCAGTCAGTCAGCTACAACGTAGGACCAGGCACATATATGCATCGGTTCAAGTTGTCATACCTCGTTAGCACAACAAGATGAACACATGTTGATATAGTAGGACAACTTAAACTGATATATCTATGTACCGAATTCATATTATTTATTATTTATTTATTTGAACACATAAATATTGATACAAAGAAGCACCAGATGCATATGCGCCGCACAAATCTCATTTGATTTGTGTGAGGGCTGTGATACTACCCAGGAGCCCAAACTGAAGCACGTGGTTTCCTTAGGGGACCACACCTCGAGCCTTCGACCTAAAGGTCTAACCCACAAGGCAGTGGATCATCGTAAGGAGATGCAGTGCCATGGTAGCCAGTGACCAACGATTGATTCATACGCCATTTGTTCTTCAGGATACTGGAGCCCATGTGCATCATTGGTTGGAATGAGGGTTTTCCAACTCCCCTAGGTGGACTTTCCGTGTCCACCGACCCCGGATTCATAATATTTGTAGCTGTTTGACTTTCATCTAAATAGTTTATAGTGAATCTTTCATTATCGCACTGGATAATAGTTTCATCTGATCGAAATGATCTTTATAGAATTATTTCAGTCATACCAAATTAATTCGTTCTAATCATGTTATTTTTCTGATTAATTGTCTTTGTAAATCTTGTTTTTTAATCTGTATATTTTGTTAATACTTTGATTAGATTGTCCTTTGAATCATGTGATTGACCATTTCACATCATCCAAGTTCATTTTTTGTTGACTTATTTCTAATAGACACAATTCACTAAACATGATATGTAAGATGGATAGTGGCTACCAGTGGAATCCAGGACGCGTATTTCGTCCCGTTTAGGACTCATCAGCTAGATGTGACTGTATCTCAGAGTTGATGTTCACTTTGGGACTTGAATGCACATATGCCAACAGGAGACTGATTAATTGTAATCCTAAGTGACAATGGGAAGATATAAGTAAACAGCATCAAGTGTGAATATAAACATGATATGGATTCGATACTTCTTTAAACTACAAATGCATGATGCAATTTTAGATACCAGTTGTAATATATATTTTGTATACTAAGTGTCATAATGATTGTGAACCAATTAGAATCATACACTTTGTGAATGTACGACTGCAAAATAATTGTGAGAATACGTGTGTTTCTTTCTGCCCCCAAATGCCCTGGCACGGCGGAAAGTGGGAAGAGTCAGCTCCCCTCTCGAAATGCTCTCAAATGGCCACGTGAATACAAGCACCACCACGGAAGTCCTACTCACTAACTTCACCTGGCATTACTGTTGTTTACGAAAGTGAGAGGAAGAAAAGCTAATATCTGGCGCTACAACCCGGTTGGTGAACACGGAAAGTTCACCAAGGGGAGGTGGAAAACCCTCATTCCAAACCAATGATGCACATGGGCTCCAGTATCATGAAGGAACAAATGACGTATGAACCAATTGTTGGTCACTGGCTACCATGGGACTGCATCTCCTTAGGATGATCCACTGCCTTGTGGACAAGACCTGGATCAAAGGCTCGAGGTGTGGTCCCCTAAGGAAACCACGTGCTTCAGTTTGGGCACCTGGACAGTATCACAGCTCTCACACAAATCAAATGAGATTTGTGTGGCGCATATGTATTCGGTGCCACTTTGTATCAATATTTATGTGTTCAAATAAATAAAGAAATGCTAAAGACTAAATAATAACGTATATAGCTCATGTTGAATCCTCTCATACTTTTGCTTCTGATCTACAATGTTGTCTTGAGACAGTTTGTGATTTCTTTGAAGTTGTCCGGCTTATCACTTAGCAGAAATTTCATCTAATCTTCCATATTATTAACGCGTACTCTAAAGAAGTTAGTTAAATGTATCTCGGGTTTGCGGAAACTATTAGTGTCAGTGAGCCAATAATCAATCAAACTGAGTCTTTCATTTTTGACAGCGTAGACAGGAGAACAATATGGAAGCTTCTTCTGGACCATGGTGTACCTAAGAAAATAGTCAACATCATACAGAATTCATATGACGGACTACAGTTCAGAGTCGCTCATGGAGGACAGCTGACAGATAATTGCAAGGGAGAAGCGGTGTCAAACAAGGCTGCTTACCCTTACCCCTTCTATTTCTTCTGGTAATTGACTGGATTATTAAAACTTTCACATCTCAGGGAAAGCACGGAATACAATGAACAGCTTAGAATCAACTAAACGATTTGAACTTCGCAGATGACCTGGCCCTCCTATTCCATACACACGAACAGATGCAGATGAAGATAACTAGCGTAGCATCAGCTTCTGCATCAATGGTCCTCAACATACACAAGCGAAACACAAAATCCTGAAATACAACATGGAGAACACTAACCCAATCGCACTTGATGGAGAAGCTCTGAAAGAGGTGGGAACATTCGTGTACCTGGGAAGCATCGCCGACGAATAAGGAGGATTCGATACAGATGTGAAGGCAAGGATTGTCAAAGCGAATACAACACTCCTACAGTTGAGGAACATATGGAACTCAAAACAGCTGTCAACCAATATCAGAGTGAGAATCTTCAATACGAAATGCTCTCAAACGGCCACATACACACAACCACTGTCACTGAAGTCCTACTCGCTGCCTTATTCAGGCAGAATTCTTGTTTGCGAATTTGAGAATACGAAAAGAGAATGTCCGACGCTTTAACGCGGTTGGTGGACAGGGAGAATCGAACCAGGGGAGTTGGAAAACGCAGATTCCAAACCAACGGTGCTCATGGGCTCCAATATCCTGAAGGAACAAATGACGTATGAACCAATTGTTAGTGACCGACTACCATGGGACTGTATCAAATTAACATTGCTCTACCGCCTTGTGGATCAGACCTATAGGTCAACGAATTGTGGTGTGGTCCCCTATGCAAACCACCTTATTCGTTCTGGCCACACGAGCAGTATCCCATCCCTCACACAAATCGAATGATTTATGTGGTGCATATCTATTTGGTACCTTGTTGTATCAGTGTTTATGTGTTTAAGTAAATAAAATATAATTGTACGGTACAATATTTTAGCTTTAATCTTTTTTACATTAAATGAAAATCTGATTTTAGGCAGCTGTAGTTGAACAAAGACAAATGGAATGCGATGGAAAAACTGATCAATCAGAAACATCTCAATACAATCATCAATCATATTCTGGATCGAATTGTCCAAATATTCCTAATCAAGTAAGTAATGTATGCCAATTATAGACTGATCCATTGCAGTGCTAAATATAAATGATAACATTTAAACAAACAATACCAAGTGAATTTAAACCTCACCCCATTACACAAGCAAGTGGCTATCAGGACTCAGTAGCTGAGTGGATAATGCGATGGCGTTTGAATCGAACAGTACTGGGTTCCAGTCCCAAAGTACACATCAACTTTGAGATGCAGGTACATCGAGCTGACGAGTCCCAAATAGGACGAAACGCGCGTCAAACTGGATTCCACTGCTAGCCATTATCCATCTTTGGTTAGAATGCTTGTGAATTAAGGTTATATAGGACATTCGATTTTCGTCCTGTCAATTGCTTAAACAGCAACCCTGTCGCTAGAAGGCTGATAGTGAGTATATGCGTGTGGATTTGTAGGGGAAAGAAAGAACATACTCTTCTCACTTTCAGCCTTACCAGGTCATTTAGAGGCCTACCACATAATTATTTTCTAGATAATTGAAATATCATTAGAATTCTTTTATCAGGTACAAATGCTTGTACGTTGCTGTTTAACAGGAAGTGAAGGCCTACTAACTGCTCAGTTAGTCATGATTAGGCGTAAAAGTTATATAATAGTACACAGAATCAGCCATTTTGTGTTAAGCATGGATGACATAAACTGGATTACAATTAAGCGTATGTGTGTGGTTAACACTTCTTGGTTGTGACCACAGTGAAAGCAAAATTCATTTTGATTTCCTATCTAGATGCACTAGGTCAGTGGGTAACACGTCTTCTTTAACGAAAGATTCTGAATTCGAATTTCAACGTGAATATCAACAATGTAATTCAGATACATCTCAAGATGATGAACCGAAAATAGATTAAAGCACGAGTCCTGATCTTCAATACTAGCTACCATTCATCTATTTTATAAAATAGTTTTCCATGTTTTATTATTTCCCTTATTATCTTACCGATTTTCAATAATAAGTTAACATTACGTGTATACCCTGTGAGCTTAGACTAACTAGTGCAGGTTAACACCTGAACTAAGGATAGGGAGTGAAGTAGTCGAGCGCGTAGACAACTCCACTTATCTTGGAAGTCTGATCAGCCCTAATGGGTTGGTGTCTGACGAAATCTCAGCAAGGATTCAAAAGGCTCGTTTGGCTTTTGCCAACTTACGTCACCTATGGCGAAGACGAGATATCCGTCTATCAATTAAAGGACGAGTATACTGCGCAGCACTTCGTTCTGTTCTACTTTACGGCTGTGAAACATGGCCATTAAGAGTAGAAGATACTCGTAGGTTACTAGAATTTGACCACAAATGCCTTAGAAATATTGCTCGCATCTGCTGGGATCACCGGGTAAGTAATAGTGAGGTTAGACACAGGGTATTAGGAAATGATGGTGGATCAGTTGATGAGGTCATGAATCTTCATCGACTGAGATGGTTGGGCCACGTGTTACGCATGCCTGAACATCGATTACCACTGACTTTCTGAGCTGGATGGTTTAAAATTCTAGATCTTTTATTTTCTTCCCCAAGTCAAAACGTAGCATCATAGCTTGAAGTCACTAACTTCTAGTCTAAGCCATGTTAGTAGATGCAAACTACTTGATTGGGGTCTGCGTGACTATCGTAACCAATGGCTGGAGACTGTGGGTGGCATGGCTCAGAATCGATCACAATGGTGCAGGTGTATACACTCTTTATCTTCCCTTAAACTATGAGATTAAAATTGCTTCATATCTATCTTCCTTCTTATACTATATCCTTATATACAAGCTTTATTTTATATACTACCACCACAAAATTAACTACTTTTATGAATTTGGTGTTCATCTTGTTGTGCTAATGAATGAGGTATGGCAACTTGGTCCGATGTATATGTGTGCCTAGTCCTACGTTGTAGTTGACTGACTGACTAGACTAACTTTTATTTTTTACTAATCATTCGTTCATTAATATATATTTATATTGAATTCATGAGTCAATTTGTGCTAGACAGCCACCATTGAAAACCTTGAAGTCACAATCCTGTATAAGGGGTTGTGTATGTGCTCTGTTGAGAAGTCCCATACTAGAGCAAAACAGCGATCCAGTGCTTTCAGGTTTTCAATAGTGGTGATCTAGCTTAAATCGACTGATGAATTGAACTATTAAAAGATTTAAAAAAATCACTACAATCTCGACAAATCCTCATTCTAATATATTTATATCTTTAGGCCACATTACCATCATCCTCTACTGTTCATGTTGTCAGTATGGAAAATACATTTATGTTGGCTGCTTGTAGTAAAGATGAAGATTTACCACAGAATCCATATCTTCCAGCAGATTTATTTACTGCTTGTTTAACTACACCGATTCGTATGGCACTTCGCTGGCATTGGTTACGTCATCAAGAATATTTTCCCGGTAAATCTTATTCTCTCTCTTTTATTTGTTTAAACACATAAATATTGGTACAAGGGGGTGCCAATTATATATGCGCCGCACTAGTCTGATTTCATTTGTATAAGGGCTGTGATACTGCCCAGGTGCCCAGGCCTAATCAGGCGGTTTTCTTAGGGAGCCATATCCGGAGCCTTTGACCTGAAGGTCTGATCCACAAGTCCGTGGAGCAATGTTAGGAGATACAGTCTCATGGTATTCAGTCACCGACAATTGATTCATACGCCCATGTGCACCATTGGTTTGGAATTAGGGTTTTCCAATTCCCCTAATTGGACTCTCCGTGTCTATCAACCCGGTTGAAGCGCCGGACATTCTCTTTTGTTCGTCCTCTCAATTTCGTAAACAACAATTCTGCCCGAAGAAGGCAGTGAGTAGGACTTCCGTTACAGTGGTTGTATGTATGTAACCATTTGTGAACATTTCGAGGAGAGCGTAATCTCCTCACTTTTAATAGTAATGGAGGCATTTTGGGTTCTGACATCAGGGAAACTGTAATCCATAACGAAAGATAAGGTCAAATATATCTCAGGCCAATTAACTTGTTAACTATTATTATCCAAATTATTTAAATGTTTTCCTTGTAACTTTTCAATCATATTATCATCAATATTTGTATATAGGTTATTTAGATGAAACTTTATTAGATCGTATACCTGGTTCCCATTCAAATCGTATGTCATTACTTGGTGAAATTAATTGGATATTTACTGCTGTCACTGATACAATTGCATGGTGTAGTTTTCCATTGGATATATTTCAAAAATTATTTCGTCAAGATTTATTAATTGCTAGTTTATTTAGAAATTTCTTACTGGCTGAACGTATTATGAAATATTATGGATGTCATCCAATATCCGCTCCATTATTATTACCAACTTATAAGCATAATATGTGGTAAGTATTCATCATAATATTAGTAATAGTTGGTGTGATTTTCTTTTCTTTTAATCCTATTTAACATGATAAAGGGAACTGTGTTGTCAGTTGAATAAATTTAGATTCATTTTGTCCTGTGTTAGATCTTATTTATGTATTTAAACACATGCCTCCAAATGCCCTGGTACGGCCAAAAGTGGAGAGAGTACGCTCTCCCTCTCCAAGTGCTCTCACATGGCCACGCGTATATAGCCTCTGTCAGTGAAGTCCTACACACTGTCTTCTCGTGGCATTACGAAAGTGAGAGGACGAAAAGCGAATATCCGGCGCTACAACCCGGTTGGTGAACACGGAAAGTTCACCAAGGGGAGGTGGAAAACCCTCATTCCAAACCAATGGTGCACATGGGCTCCACTATCCTGAGGGAACAAATGACGTATGAACCAATTGTTGGTCACTGGCTACCATGGCACTGCATTTCCTTATGATGATCCACTGCCTTGGAGATCAGATATTTATGTCGAAGGCTGCGGGTTTGGCCCCATTTTAAAACCACCTGTTTCAGTTTGGGCTCCTGGGTAGTATCACAGCCCTCACACAAATCGAATGATATTTGTGCGGTGCATATGTATCTGGTGCTTCCTTGTATCAATATTTATGTGTTTAAATAAAATTAAACACATAAACATTGGTACATTGGTACTTGTGTGAGGGCTGGGTTACTGCTCGGGTGCCCAGACCGAAGCAGGTGGTTTTCATAGGGGGCCACACCCGGAGCCTTTGACCTAAATGTCTAATCCACAAGGCAGTGGAGCGTCGTTAGGAGATGCAGTCCCATGGTAGCCAGTGATCAACAATTGGTTCATACGTCATTTGTTCCCTCAGGATAGTGGAGCCCATGTGCATCATTGGTTTGGAATGAGGGTTTTCCACCTCCCCTTGGTGAACTTTCCGTGTTCACCAACCGGGTTGTAGCGCCAGATATTAGCTTTTCTTCCTCTCACTTTCGTAAACAACAGTAATGCCAGGTGAAGTTAGTGAGTAGGACTTCCGTGGTGGTGCTTGTATTCACGTGGCCATTTGAGAGCATTTCGAGAGGGGAGCTGACTCTTCCCACTCTCGGCCGTACCAGGACATTTAGGGCAAATACCGATGGTTGTCGGGTTATCATTTAATAGAGGTTCGATGGTATAAATGTTTTGTTTCCAGTGAATTATTTGCATTGTGCGACATGATAATTAGTGAGCAACCGGACTTTCATTCACACATCCCTATTAAGACCCTTAAAATATGCTACTAGTGAGTAGCATAAGGTGATTAATTTATTATTATATGTTAAGTCATTTAAAATTGTTTTTTATTTTCAGGTCTTTTACGGTAATCGATTAGTGAGAATCAAATTAGTCTTTGAAAATTCAAAAGAATGTTGTAGTGATACATCGGGATTACTGAAATTTCAGCCATATTATAAATGTGTTAAGTTAAGGAGTTTCCACAAACCATACTGGTAAATGACCACTGTGAAATAATCTTGAATCGATTGAGGTTTGAAACAAGATGGACCGTTAAAATCCAAATCATTATTGATATTAAGATAATAATCTCATCACTGAACATTATGATCATGGCTTCAATGTCTGGCGAAAAATTCTTGGCATCGCAATTCACGATCTCGTCTTCGGGATTGTAACCAAGGTTTTCGAGAATAACAACAAACATATTACTGTAGTTACCTTCGCGTTGGCACTAACCCAGCTAACATTATATATTAATGAGGTTGAGATGCAGTTAGCCTCAGTGATTCAATAATCTGATGCCTTAAGTCTGGATGGTTCGGGGATTTGATGGCGGCCATTGTCAGTAGTCCATAGGTTCATGCTAGTGTTTTGTGCTATCGTCAGCGATTCTCGCCTTCATTCTTAGGGGATAATGATCTTGCCTTTGTGAGATAGTCAGTCATAACTTAAATATCTCGGATTACTACATACTTTTTGATACATAGTTTGGATTCTATGCTGAGGATGACGTGTATTACTGACGAATAGTACTATTTGGGACAAAATTCCTGTGTCTAAGGAAGCCTCTTATCGATTGACTTCATTTGTTGTTTTGATTTTAACTACTTCTATGATGAGAAAACTATACTGAATAAGAAGTGCTAGTCAATGATGACTAAACTACACTACTTTTTCCTTATTCATTAGTTTAAATCTGAGAGTGGTACAATATTCTGTCTTTACTGTAATTTTCTTTGTATGTCCATGTGTTGTTAACTCAATGTTTGTTTTGTCCTGTGTCTATTCCCGCTCCCCCTCCTTTATCCATTCTTTCTGTCCATGTATCAACGTGTTATTCTACTTGTGTCCAAAATAAATAAAAAAACACAGGGATGCATGGGATCATACCGTAGATCGTGTAATACATTATCTACCAAAAATGTTAAAAATCATTGAAGGTGGTAGTTTGTACACTGAGAAATTGCTGCCAATCATTAATCCCAACTCAAATACAGTTGTCAATCATAATAATAGTGGACTATTAATGAAAACAGTTAACAATAATTATCAAAATTCAAACACCATTACTACTACTACTACTAATAATAATAGTAGTAACAATGGTAATAATAATAGTAATAATCGTATACCAGGACAACCTTGTCCAACTGGCAATATTCCATTAGATGTGTGCACAAATCGTGATCGACATTTTTCTACACAACAACAAACTCATGCAATACAACAACAATATCAACGACAGGAGATTCCTCAAGGAATCCACACGGGGTTACTACCATTAAAACAAGTCAAAGCAACTGTTCCTTCAGTTTGTGTATATCCACCAAATAAATCACATAGTGATAATAATATTCCTATTTCACAGCAAACATTGACGAATACAACGAATCCTGACTTGATTACGAATTGTAATGTTGCATCAACCGTGACATTAAGTACGGTGTGCAATGTAACTGTGTCGTCGACATTCGTGTCTAAAACAACAACAACAACAACAACAACAACGACAGCTATTACAAAATCGAAAGCAGTTGTTACGGCTGATCCTTTTAAAAATCACTCAACTAATCAAATGATTGATACTAATGAAAACAAATCTCAACTGAATCATGATTGTCTTCAGTGTGACAATAATAATCATCGTACAGTCAATGTACTACAGTGTGGATTGCCTCTTGTAAGTGATTATTCTTATATAGTGCCAATTTCAATTAGGACGGGTAATTTGTCTAGTAAATAAATAATTTAGGCTAACAGTAGTTTGTTTTATCATTTTAAGTATACTTTCATTTGTATTGACAATCCACCTCTATTGTCCGATCTCCGTTTTCATTGTTCAAAATATTTCTGAAGGTCTTCAAAAATCAGACTCCTTGTCTTATATTTGATTTTCTCGGCATTATGCTAATCCTGCCCTCGTATTAAAGATGTTTTACACTTTGGGAACAAAATAGAATCCAAGGTCGGTTAAGTTTGTTGGTGAGTAGTGATAAGTCTTGCTGCTGATACGCGTAGACTTTCGGTTCCTGCCCCCAAATACTCTGGTACGGCCGAGAGTGTGGAGAGTCCGCTCTCCCTCTCGAAAAACTCTCACATGGCCATGCGTAATATAGCCTCTGCCAGGGAACTTCTACTCACTGCCTTCTCTCACCGCGGGTGTTGTTTATGAAATTGAGAGGACGAAAAGCGAATATCCGGCGCTTTAACAGGGTTGGTGGACATGGAGGGTCCACCTAGGGGAGTTGGAAAACCCTGATTCCAAACCAATGGTGCACATGGGTTCCAGTATCCTGATGGAACGAATGGCGAATGAACCTGTTGTTGGTCACCGGCTACCACGGGACTGCATCTCCTTAAGATGCTCCACTGCCTTGTGGATCAGACCTTTAGTTCAAAGGCTCGGGGTGTGGCCCCCTATGAAAACCACCTGTTTCAGTCTGGGCACCTGGGTAGTATCACAGCCCTCACACAAACCAAATGATATTTGTGTGGCGCATATTTATCTGGTGCCGCTTTTTTTAAAATATTTATGTGTTTAAACAAATAAAAATAAATCCTATAACCCCAACTTCTATTCATCAAAATGTACGAATTATGAGTAAAAGCTTTATTTCAAGGTTTGTTTATGTACAGAAAAAAAACGAGAGCATTCTTAGAGTTATACATTATCCTAGGCTTCTGGAACCATTCCAAATATAGCAGCAATATCGGTAAATATCCAATCAAAGCTGTAGCATGTTATTCTGTATTTTCTAAATGTTTCTCTAAAGATTCTATTCAACTCTGATTGAATAAAACATTTCCCGACGTTTCTGAGCCTGTGGAGACTTTGACGAGGGATATTTTGAGACTCCCGACAAGTAGAATGAGTGATCTAGCATAGATTGTAAACTGTTGGACACAAATATTGCTAAATGTTCAGACAGATGTATTGTCATGATAAAACAATCATCCATCACGAAATTACAACTCGTCGAGCGGTACTTGAATGCATACAGGCTACCGTAATGGTGAGTGTTTAAGTACAATTTGGTTATTTATTTATTTATATCCACAGCCAAAAGCCTTAGTCTATCAGTTCGCGTATTTATTGTAGAATACATTGTGTACTAATGAATTTATTGGAGTTTTCAGCTTACAACTTGTTGAATGCAATGTGAACACTAGATCATCACTCCTACCCTAACCTGTCGAATGCTTCGATAGTGTTCTCTTAACTTTCGGGATATTTAATGTGTAAAATGCTCAGGGATAGTGTACTAGTGTGCGCTACGTGCAAACAAGGGTTGTGTGCCATATAAATGTCATCTGACCCCTTTTGTTATTGTTCCTATTATCAAACATATGCAAGATGATATATGAATGGAATATTTCATATTTTTGATATCATCGATTGAATACATCTTCTTTGATATATAAGTATCATATTTTCTTTGTAGGACTATCTTGAAACTCAGCATTATCCAGTTACTGTTACTACCATTACTACTAATACTGTAACTACTGCTACTCTTAATACATCTAGTCGAACTTCTGAGTTAGTATCAAAATCGAAGGTATTCAAACAGTTGAACTCGGATTCAGTTGCTCCACCTCCAGGATTTAATAATAGTAGTAATAATAATGCTGATAAGCTTCAGTCGCAACCAGTAACAACCATGTTGGCGGATTCAGATCATCATCCTACTACTAATACTATTGTTGAATTTATCAGTAATGATACTAATAATAGTAATAAGGATTTGAATGATAGAAAATCAACCTTTCATAGAGTGAAAGAGATAAATCAATTAGAAATTGTTGAGATTACTAAACAAAATACTAATGACGAATCCCATTTGACTAATGATGATGATAATGATAATGAACCGAAATTTCTCACTACTACTACTGCTACGAACAATAACGATTCTTCATCAATTGTTCAGCATACCTTAACAAAAGAAATAGAAAAGTCTATTGAACAAGTGCATGATGATCAAGTCTCAAAGACAACAGTACCAAGAAGTTTACATCCGTCTTCTCAACAACATCAAAGCACATCAAATCCTCATCATGATCATCATCATCAAAAAGATTCATCTAGTTTGAACAATAAAGTTCAATATTCTGAACATGAAGATAATCAGGTATATTTTTTGTGCATTTGTACGTGTGTGTGTGTGAATGTATGAGTTCGTCTTTTTTATCAGGTATAAGTTTCTGTGCTCGACTTCGAGCCATACTCTGTGTACGTATGAGCTAATGATATTATTCACCTGTTCAAACGAAATTATATCGAGTGAGACTCTTAATTACGACCTAGGTGTTTAGAGTTGAACCATTTAACCACTAAGTCACATTTCATAGTTATTCATGTTGATAATCTTTTGTGTTAATTGAATTCTTTCTGCCCCCAAATACTCTGGTACGGCCGAGAGTGTGGAGAGTCCGCTCTCCCTCTCGAAAAACTCTCACATGGCCATGCGTAATATAGCCTCTGCCAGGGAACTTCTACTCACTGCCTTCTCTCACCGCGGGTGTTGTTTATGAAATTGAGAGGACGAAAAGCGAATATCCGGCGCTTTAACAGGGTTGGTGGACATGGAGGGTCCACCTAGGGGAGTTGGAAAACCCTGATTCCAAACCAATGGTGCACATGGGTTCCAGTATCCTGATGGAACGAATGGCGAATGAACCTGTTGTTGGTCACCGGCTACCACGGGACTGCATCTCCTTAAGATGCTCCACTGCCTTGTGGATCAGACCTTTAGTTCAAAGGCTCGGGGTGTGGCCCCCTATGAAAACCACCTGTTTCAGTCTGGGCACCTGGGTAGTATCACAGCCCTCACACAAACCAAATGATATTTGTGTGGCGCATATTTATCTGGTGCCGCTTTTTTTAAAATATTTATGTGTTTAAATGAATAAATGAATGAATAAATAATTCTTTCTAATCATCAACACTGATTTTGTATAAGGGACTCGGTATTATTTATTTATTTGTTGTGTTAGTCGATTGAAAGAGAATCCACAATTTTACTGTGTCTGAAATTGATACTGAATGATGGAGGTTTGGTTTCTTCAAGAAATCATTGTGATATTGTGGAAAATAAGTCATCCAGAGCTTTTAATTTGATTGGATCTAATCGTACACTATTTATAGGATGTATTTGTCACAAATTGATCTCTTTTGGGATATCATTAAGAACAAGGGTGAAGTAGATAACTGTTTAGTACCATTATGAAACTACTCAGTAGTGCACACTCACAACCACAGCACAGATCAAACTCAAAACCTTCAGATCTCATGCTAAACGCTTCACTATTAGGATTCTTAGATCTTTGTCCAATTTTACGATGTCAACTTTTATTAATTTGCGATTTAATACAAAGATCATCTACTATCTACTTTTTTTTCTAACTTCTTACCTGTCCTATCCGTCCAGAGTCTTCTGACCACTATAAGTCACAATGCAGGCATGTTCGGGATGCGATTCTCTCCCTCGAAGTGCAAAATGTTACTTCCGGATTGGGTTGCATCGGCACCTGAACTAATTATAGGGGGTGAAGTAGTTGAGCATGTTGACCGCTTCACTTATCTTGGGAGTCTCATCATCCCTTATGGTCTGGTGTGTGACGAAATCTCAGCACGGATACAGAAGACTCGTCTAGCTTTCATCAACTTGCGTTTTTTATGGCGTGGGCGAGATATCCGTCTAGCAACAAAAGGACGGGTTTACTGTGCATCAGTTCGTTCCGCCCTGCTTTATTGCATTGAAACATGGCCGATAAGAGTAGAGGATATTCGTAGGCTACTAGTATTCGATCATAGGTGTCTTGGAAGCATTGCACTTATATCCTGGGACCACCGGATGAGTAATGCCGTTGTTAGGAAATGGGTATTAGGTAAGGATGGCAAATCGATTGATGAAGTAGTGAAACTTCATCAGAGATGGCTGGGACATGTGTTCCGTATGACCAACCACCGAGTGCCCTGACGTGTAATGTTTTATGGTGTAGGAGTAGTTTGAAAGAAAGCTAGGGGTGGCCAGACCAAAACGTGGCACAAATCGATGAAGTCACTGACAAGTGGACTGAACCATGCTAGTAGGTGTAGACTACCTGGTTGGTATTCGCGAGATGATAGCAACCGATGGTTAGAGACCGTGAATGACTGATCCGTCCAGATTATCACTAATAATCTTCATTTTTAGAAATCTAATATTCATATTTAAACACTAGACTTTTAAATCAAAGTCATTTTCCTTTGAATTTCTCATTTAGTCATTTGATTTTTTTCTTTCTATAAATTAGAATAATGAAATTGTGTCAACCGGTTCTCAAATGAAGCAATCGAATCAGATAAAATTAGAGAGTAAAACGAACTTTAATTTGAATAATGCTAATCAAGAAAAAATCTGTCATGAGAATAGTGATGACAACGATGATGATGCTGATGATGACGATGATTCAACAGACAATTCTGAATCAGATGATGACGATGATGATGACATTGATGTTGATGAGGAAGATGACGATGATGATGATGATGATGAGGAGGAGGAGGAGGAGGAGGAGGACGAGGACGACCATGATGGTGGTAATGACAGTGAGGAAGAAGACAATAGGGCGGAACAATACAAGTGTAGTAAAACTACTTTAAATGTTCCAAATACCATCGGTTCAACAACAAAAATTATGAACACAGCAGTTACAACGGTTACTACTACTAATAGTACTAATAGTACGATTGATAATTGTTCTACTCAATTACCTTTGCATCCAACAGAAAATTGTCATGAATCAAATAAAGTTGAAAATCAACCATCCATAGGAATTACTGACAGTAAAAGTAACCTTAGTAGGGGTATGAGTAACCGTAAATTGATGAATAAAAAGCATGAAACACATCTTTCTCATAGTATATCCTGTTCGGAATTATATACACATCCAAATTATAATAATCAACATACATCACAACCACAAATTACACGTCAAAAACAACAACAACAACAACAACAGCAACAACGGCACCATCACCATCACCAACACCAACCTCATTCAAAATTAACTCATGAACAAGTAAACATAGATACAAATAATGAGAATAATACTACTAATTCATGTCAACAGTTACCACCGGGAGTAGTAGTAGAAAATAAACAGACATCAGTAAAATTGAAAAATAATAATCATGACACTATGGTAACTACTGAAAAGGTAACTGAATCTACTAAATTGTTAAATATGACTTGTCAAGATGTAGTACCAAGTGAAACTAATGATCAAACACAGAAAGAGTTGCATGTTCATGTACAACAACAAAATATAGAGGATAATGTAGTAGTTTCTGCAATGAAATGTAAATTAAGAAATGATCCACCATCATTAGAGAAACAAGTAAGTTCAAGTTTTTTTAACTTGTATTTATATATAAACAAATAAACATTGATCAGTCAGTCAGTCAGTCAGCTACAACGTAGGACTAGGCACATTTATGTATCGGCCCAAGTTGCCATACCTCGTTAGTACAACAAGATGAACACCGAATTCATAGGAATAGTTAATTTAGTGGTGGTAGTGTATAAAAGATATATATATATATATATATATATATATATATATATATGGATGTATATATGGATATAGTATAGGAAGAAAGACAGATATGAAGCACTTTTAATCTTAAGGTTTAAGGGAAGATAAAGAGTGTATACACCTACACCATTGTGATTCTGAGCCATGTCACCTAGAGTCTCCAACTATTGGTTACGATAGTCACGCGGACCTCAACCAAGTAGTCTGTATCTGCCAACATGGCTCAGAATAGAAGCTGATACAAAGAGCGCCACCCAATAAATTACTAAATGTGTGTATGAGCTGGAATACTGCCTAGATACCGAAATCGGAACAGCCGGTTTACTTAGGGGACAACTCGACGAGTTTTTACCTTGAGGGGTAATCGACAAAGCAGTGGAGTGAAGCTGGAGATGTGTTTTTTGGGTAGCAACTGGAGTGAACGTACTCTCTCCACTCTCATCCGTAACGGGGCACTTGTTTTATTGATATTCTTTATTGTTTGTAATGTACAATGAACATATTACTATTGCTGAATTTTATGGTTTATATTACGGATTGACCTTTAGCTATTGAGGACCAAGAATTAGTGGATAGATATTTCATCACTGTTCAACAGTGAGCACCCGTTAACCTACTCGGGATTGGACTCTGGACCTTTCAGGTCTAGCGTTCATCATTCAAACTTTGGACCTTTTATCCAGCATCACATAGTTTAAGTATGTAACTTCAATCGTTTCGCAATATTGTATAGTCATCTCTTCATGTTATTGGTTCGTTAACTGCCTCACATCCACTTGGTTGAACTCCACTGAATATGTCTTATGATTACAACTTTGTTAATTACCAGTCAAAGTTAGTTGCTGATCAATCAGTAAGCTACAACGTAGGCACAACCAGGCACATATATCCATCGGTCCAAGTTACCACACCTCGTTTGCACAACATTATGGACTATTGCTGAAAGAAAAAGAGAGAAATAGATCCATTCATCAAACTCAGTTTCTGAGCTGGATAGTTTATAATTCTAAATCTTTTATTTTCTTCCCCAAACCACAACGTGGTATCATTGCTTGAAGTCACTAACTTCTAGTCTGAGCCATGTTGGTAGATGAAAACTACTTGGTTGGAGTTCGCGTGACTACCGTAAGCAATAGTTGGAGACTAGGTGACATGGCTCAGAATCGGTCACAATGCCGTCGGTGTATGCACTCCATGTCTTCCCTTAAACCGTGAGATTAAATTGCTTCACATCTTTTTTTCTTTCTGTACTATATCCTTGTACACTCGCTTTCTTTTATATCTTATCACTATTAAATTAACTTCTACGAATTCGGTGTTCATCTTGTTGTGCTAATGAGGTGTGGCAACTTGAACCGATGCTTATATGTGCTTAGTCCTACGTTGTAGCTGACTGACTTCGCCGTCATATAGCCAGTCTGTCGGACTCTATCTCTCTGACCTTTTGCAATGTCTCAATTGTTTTTTTCTGACGAAAACCCTCATTCCTTTCTCTTTTGTATGCATTTCTTTCTAAATTTCAGACTGAAAATTCTAAAAATCCTGGAAACTCACGTATTTTCACACCAGTGAAACCTCGTCAACCACCGATGCATACACAGTATCCACATGGTTATGAAAAGTTATACCTGTTACCGAATAGTGGTGATATTCAGAAAGTGACTGGAGCTTGTCGGTATCGAGTTAATAACAATCACTACGACAATAAGTCAACAACAGTAAGCCAACAACTTGAAGGACCAATAACAACAACTGCACTTCCATCCACACAGACCAAACCTATCAAACAGTATTTAGACTCTAGAACTTGTACAAAATTACTAAATGCAAATGATAATTCTAACAATAGAGTTATTCTACCGAATAATGTTAATTATCAAAATGAACAATACCTGTATCCAAGTAAATCTCTGTTGAATAATTATTCCGACAAGTTATTACCACCACCATCGTCTAACCAACGAAATAATACATCATCATCTACGTTACCACCATTATCTCACTGTCAACAGTCATTAACTAATCAACTAGTCAATTCCACAGTGTCGACGGCTTCTACTACGGCTGCCACTACTACTACCACCACGACTACTACAGTTTTTTCTGGATCAGTGATAGGTGGGAGTGGTCCATCGTCATTTTTCACTAGTCAAATGACTGCATTCAAAATCTGGTTACAAACAGCTGATGAACGACGTCCTGTAGCTACACAATTACCAATTTTATTACAGGTTAGTGAGGGAAGGAAATAATTATACTGTATTTTTTCAGTCCGTCCTTCATTCTATTCTACTACGATTGTTATTCTGGTTTTGTTGACCGTTACCAGTGTATACATTTGTAACGATGGATGAAGAGTCTACATCTGAGTTTGCAGACTCTTGTCTCCCCGAAGATATTATTGCCAAGGCGATCGCAAGAATGGTTAAATTTTATTAAAATGGCTTCGATCTCTTCTGGAGCGATAACCGCTCACATACTTTCTGCTAATTCGATTTTCCGCATGATCTTTGCCTTCTGATTGGCTTTCATGCTGTTTTTTAGTTCGCTAAATTGCTACATACTCGAAGGTCATATTCTGCTACCATAATGACAACTTTTGTATCAATTTCATTGGAGTTATTTGCTCTACCACAACACCAAGTTACCGTCTTTTTTCTATCTTAGATGTCGAAGTTTGATGTGTTGAATATAATTGACTATTGTCAATTTGTAAGAGAATCGATCGTATTAGTGAAGCTCAATCGTTTTCGTTCTTAAATCTTCAGTTGTACTGAATCCCCTATAACAAGGCATGACATATATACATTTGTTAAAGCTCCTGATGGTTGGGGGGAAATAGGGAAATTTGGTTGTTATATTGAATCAATCAGTTATTGATTACGTGGATGTTCATCATTTACTGTACCTTGATGAGCAGAGGTTTACTTGTAACAGTGAGAACTATGATTCATTTAACTTAAATCGATGCTCATTTTCTAATATCTGGTCTACTTGTTCCTGCCATCTAGATATTTCCAAAAGTTATCTGTTTTTGTACGTTTGAACACATCATGTCTATTAATCGCATAACCTATTCAAGCGTGTTCGTTGTACAAGTTACGAAAAAGTACAATCAGATTTGGTTGTCGACTGCCGTGGAAATTCAAGGATGATATTTCGTTAGTTGATTGTATATCAGGACTCTAATGTTTGATGTTCACCTTAAGACTCAAACCTCCTGTGGATTATCATTTAAACTACTGATTTAAAATTACCGTCCTTAATAACAGTGGTTAAAAAAAATACTAGGTCTTACAAGTAACAACTGTATATCCGTTGCCACATGGGCTTATTAACCTTGTCAAAAACGTATTGAACACTGAGGTGAAGTCTCTGCATCAATACTATAGCTGAGATGCAAACACACTTAACTACTGAGTCCTAAATGATCTGAAATCTGTGTTTAATGTCTCACTCTATGTCACCATTAAAAGTTACCACATCATCAAGGGTAACTATTTATAGATAACAATGATTTTTCGGAGAAAATATTTTTCACCTTGTTTACACATAGGTTTTCTTCTATCAATCGAAAGTAATAGTCTGGAAGCCTTCATAGACCTGGCCCCCACATTCCCCGGTACTGCCGAGAGTATGGAGATTCCGCACACCTTCTAGAAATGCTCTTACATGGCCACGAGTATAAAGCCTCCACCAGAGAAGTCCTACTCACTGCCTTCTCGCACCACAGATGTTGTTTACGAAATTGAGAGGACGAAAAGCGAATGTCTGGCGCATTATCTGGGTTGGTGGACACGGAAAGTTCACCTAGAGAAGTTGGAAAACTCTGATTACAAACCAATGGTGCACATGGGCTCCAGTATCCTAAGGGAACAAATGACGTATGAATAAATCGTTGGTCACCGGCTACCATGAGACTGCATCTCCTCACGACGCTCCACTGCCTTGTAGATCAGACCTTTCAACATTGTCTGATTACTTAGTTTTGTTGCTATTTGAATTTTATTGTCCAAGTTTCAATACGTTGCTCTTAGCTTATGTTTTCCTCTCATTCATCAAATGTGTTTTTTATTTCTGTAGATTTTACTAAGTCAAAGTCATCGAATACGTGCAATGCAATTACTTAGTGAATTTCTTGATTTAGGACCATGGGCAGTAGCGCATTGTTTAACTGTTGGAATATTTCCTTATATTGTTCGTTTATTTCATTCACCAGTTTCAGAAGTGAAACCATATTTAGTATTTATATGGGGTAAAATTATTGCCAGTGCACAAGTGAGTAAAGGATTGTTTTTTGTTTGTTGTTGTTGTTGAATTAATTAAGACAGTTTTAAATTAATGATGGAAAAGATTTTATGTAGATTTAGTGAATGTTCAATTAGGGAGGTTCATTGTTTTCACGCGTATACTGCCACCGTCAGGGAAGTCCTACTCTCTGTCTTCTTGCGATGGGATCGTTTAACGAAATTGAGAGCATGAAAAGACGAATGTCTGGTGCTTTAACAGGATTGGTGGGTACTGAGGATCCACCAAAATCCTGATTCCAAACCGATGGTATATATGAGCTCCAGGTTCCTATGAGTACAAATGGCGTATGAACTTATTATTGGCCATCGGCTATCATACGTTATTATGCAGTTTTAAAGATCATTAGGAAGATTCAAACAACTGATCAATGTATGATGCTGATACGCTTTTATTCTTTGTTACCATCTTAATCTTGACTTTTAGTATTCTTAGATACATACTTTTCCAGTCAGTGTTATTCAACTATATTGTTGATGTCCAATATTTCTCATTATCGTTTCTTACTTACGCCTGATACCCATCGTGGAGAAGCATAGAACATTCTTCTTTACCCTGGTCTTTGTACCGGACGTAACCCTAGAAGAACTACAGAAGGACTTATTATCATTTCTACTGTTTATTATTGCGATTCCTGTATTTATTTATTCATTTTTCTTTTTGTGCTAACGTGATACCGTAACATGGACCGGCAAATATTTGTTTCAGGTTGTACTACACTTATAACCGATTTCCTTATTGTTTCATTCAGTGGGTTGATTAATTCTAAAACTCAATGCACACATACCATCGTATACGATTTCGAACTATGCCACTTAAAGTTTCCAAACAGTGATTACATTTATCACACAGACCTAAAGCTATAGCTACCAACATGACTCGAACCAAGAAATAATGATTTCATCGAATGATGTGAGTTTCCGGAATCGCCCTTCATCCTTTCCCTAACCTTCTCCAACACAAGGTGGTGTTCCATGCCGAGTTAAGTGGCGTTCAATCATACGTAGTACTTTCGAATCATCTTAATCAGTGAAACATTTTAACCTTATCATCAATCGACTCAAAATATTTACTCAGTACTTTACATCGGTGAAGGCGACGATTGGTATAGCAAGGACAGCATTCCTACGGTTGAAGAACATATGGAACTCAAAACAACTGACAATGAATATCAAAGTCAGAATCTTCAAGACAAATCTACTATACGGAGCTGAAACTTGCGAACTACTGCAACCATCAGCAAAAAAGCACATGAGTTTATAAACAGTTATCTACACAAGATACTCAATGTCTCTTGATTGGATACCATCAACGACAGACTACTTTGGAAGAGAACAAACCAGCTTCTATCTGAAGAGGAGATTAGAAAAAGAATCTGGAAATGGATAAGACATACATTGCAGAAATCACCAAACTGAATCACGAAGCAAGTTCTATCTTGGAATCCTGAAGGGTAACGGAAAAGAGGAAGGCCGAAGAACACATTAAATCGAAAATTGGAAGCAGATATAAAAAAAATCAATACCAAGTGAAAACAACTGGAAAGGATTTCTCAGGACACAGTCCGATAGAGAATGGTTATGAGCGGTCTATGCTCTTCCATAAGCGGTTACAGGTTATATATATAACTTATTATTTACCTTACAGTGAACTTTCTGAATCGTATATGTATCATCTATTTGTGTAATGTTTTACTCTTTTCATTTTTAAAAATTCATTTCCCTAGACTGAATTCGGTCGAAATGATTCAGTTCGTGATTTCGGTTATAAATATTTCATTGCTTGCTTAAGTGATACTGAAAATCTTACTGTAAGTCTTATTCGTTTGTTCATATTTGATCAAATAACATGAAAGTCCATTTTGATTGAGTTGAATCTATCGCCGCACTCATTCCCTTGTTTCTGTTAACTGTAGAATCAATGGAGTCAATCAATTTCCACATTCGACAATTAACCTTTTAGTATTTTCATAGTTGAAATCATCAGTCATTTGAAGCTAGACCACCATGGAAAACCTGTAAGCACTGAACGGTCGTTTCGTCCTATTACGGGACTCCTCAGAAGTGCTCATCCACGACCCCGCAGTCGAACCCGGTCTCGAGCCAGAGCCCTTAACCGATAGACCACTGAGTCGGCATCCAACGGTGTTTATTAACCTTTTATCATACACCTTGTCATTACATTGTGTTTAATAATGTAGATGTGTCAATGTATGTATTGTTGTTTGTGTAGCACTGTCAGCCATTTTCCTCCCATTCGTTTACTGAATGAGTTTTGTATGCGCACCCTAATATTTCATTTCAAGCATCTGTATCTATCCTAAACTATCTATTATAAACACATTGGATGGAAAACACAAATATTGTGAAGGATTAAGGCCAATATCCTATAATTATCCAATAAATAAACGGAAAAATGTTCATAACATAGTTATAGAAAACTAAAGTTTTTACTAATAATTTCAGGGTTAAAAACTATTATCCATTCCGTATCACAGTGGTTTGACAGTATTGTACCACCAGGATGATCAATATGTTTCACGATTCCATTTCATATTTGTATATAATGAGTAGGTGAGGTAGCTATACTGTTCCTATTGTTTCCTCAATGGAACAGTCAAGTTTGAGACAATGGATTGACATTGTGCAAACGATTCTAAGATTTTACTAAGATGCTCTATAATTTGGTGTTGAAATATATACGATTGTCTCCACTTCTGTTCTCGTTCACTACACTACCACTTCAGAATTCATGTTAGATACACCTCCAAATAGAGTTTTTATCGAATAATTGTTTTCATTGGTTGATCACTCATGCGACAATAAAATTATGGTCTGATTCTTTCTTTTAAGGTTTGTCTTTGCGACGCCCCGCCATTTGAAGTTGGTAAGACCTAAGGTCCATGGGCTTCCCTGGAGTAAAATCTGTTAACCGAGGCTCACGAACCCACCACGTGAATGTGATTGCGTGCGAAAGTCGTCGGGACCGCCGGGTAGTGGGATGCGGGCATCTCATGAGGGCAAATTATAGTCTACACACGTACAGGTAACACATATTTTCACTCATGGATCCATTGGGATACACGGTATACATACCGTGTAAGTAAACATCCACCACATGGACACCGGTAACACTAGTTTTCTCCCATACATTCCATAGCATACATATATGTATATTCACACACATGCGAGGGTAGATGGTCTCCGCTCCCTTTGGACGTATGTACTACAACTGTCTGTCCCGCATCACGTGCATACCACCGGTACACAAACTTTCATCCATGCACTTTATGACATACATATGAGCGCAAGCACTCTCAGAAGGGTTGGTGGTCACCTCTCACTAATATTTTCTGGCATATCTTTTTATTATGACTTCAAACTAACGGTTTATGTGGTTGATTTTATTAGACGCATGACAGATATTTCTTTAGCTTATGTTACTTGTACCAGCCCGGGGCATACCCTTTACATATACCTAAGTGCATAATTACACAAGTCGAGATTCATGCAATTTGTACACATAAGCATGCACATTGGACAGCCCGTCGCATTTTTATCAAAGAGTGAACTCCGAGTAATTCAAATACAGCTTAGCAGTAGTGGATAAGTCTGATCTCCTCATTGTTTATTCTTAACTTTTTTTTTAACACTGTCAGGCCTACTCATAATATTCCGTCATTTTTTTCACCATTGATGATCTCTATACCATATTTTATTTCTTATTTCTACACATTATTATAACCAACTCATAGCCTCTTACTAGAACAATCACAGCATTTGCATTGGCTAAAATGTTAGAAAAAGATGAATCTGAAGAGGTAAGTATGAAAATGACATATTTTGGTTTCTGATATATAAATATATAACAACATTTTATACTTATGTGAACTAGATGATGTATGCTTTTATACAAATATCTGTTATTGTGACTATATAACATGGTAACTCAAACTGATGTACGTACGTACGTACGAAGTTCTACGTTGTGACTGACTTACTATTGTGACTATATTCTGGCTCATGGAATTCATAAAATATTGGTTCTTTAAAAATGCACAGTTGAACTGTCAAAAGAGGAAAAGTTTTTCATTTCAAGTTTAGTTCATATGTAGACTACCTGGTTGGGGTCCGCGTAACTATTGTAACCAATGGTTGGAGACTCTAGGTGACATGGCTCAGAATTGATCACAATGGTGTAGGTGTATACACCCTTTATCTTCCTCTAAAACTTGAGATTAGAATTGCTTCATAACTTCCTTCTTATATCCTTATATCCTTATATACAACCTATCTTTTACATACTACCACCACTAAATTAACTATTTCTATGAATCCGGTGTTGATCTTGTTGTGCTAACGAGGTATAGCAACTTGGATCGATGCATAAATGTGCCTAGTCCTACGTTGTATCTGACTGTCTGACTGACTCATATGCACAGAAATTCAAACCCAAGATATAGTATCAGTTCTTGAAATAATTCACTATTGATCTGATCCATATGACTACATCCAAACTACTGGGTTAAGATCTGAATCATAATGATCATCAGTGGTTTTAGACATTGATTGACATTAATCATGATTAATCTCAACAACGCAAATACATTCAGCTTATTTCCATTCTTTGATCTTAAGTTTTGAACCTTTTTTAAAATACATTTTTTATTTTGAATTCATCCTTTCTGAAAACTGTACTGTAATATCTCGTAGAGAATTATGAATGGTAACTTAGAGAACTGTTTATGGGCTAATATGATGAGCATATTTCCTGTTGTATAATTGCTAATTAACTTAATTATTCATATTTGTGTTCCTCTTCTTATAAGCTTTATTTTGACCAAAAGACTATTCCTGTACGATTTACCATTCCAGAGTTATACCCCGTCTATCGATTACTATTCCCCCTATTCACAGTCAAAATTCATCTATCTTGTACAAATGTTATTTTCTATTTTATGGTACGATGTGGTCAGTTTGTTTGGTTTATAAACCCAGTATGTTTGAGAATAATGATTCATATTACAGAGGTTGTTATTGGTGTTTTGGACCTAACTGGCTGGGCTAGACAGAGAACAGGACCGACAAGTGCTCTAGACTGCTTCTACGGGTTCGTGTGTCATTGGGTCGATCAATAAATTCACTGTATTTTAATTGGCGGGAATCATCACGTTATATATTAGCAGGGCATCCAAAAGGGCACACTCAATATAACATGTACACTAGGTTAAGTGAGAATCATTAAAAGATTATACATCTGATCAATGTTAGATTATCATTAAAAATTTGTAAATATTGCATGACTTGATGCATAATCTCAATAAGAGAACTCAACAATCTCCAAAACCCTCATGCTGATAATTATACATCCTTTATCTATTCATTCTCATTGACCGCCCCCAAATGCCCTGGTACGGTCGAGAGTTGGAATAGTCTGCTCTCCCTCTCGAAATGCTCTTACATGCTCACACGTATATAGCCTTTGCCAAGGAAGTTCTACACACTACCTTATCCAGGCAGAATTGTTGTTTTTGAAATTGACAGGACGAAAAGCGAATGCCCAACGCTTTAACCGGGTTGGTGGACGCGAAGAGTCCAACTAGGGGGGTTGAAAACCCCTCATTCCAAACCAATGGTACACATGGGCTCCAGTATCCTGAGGGAACAAATGGAGTATGAATCAATTGTTGGTAACCGACTACAATGGGACAGCATCTCCTCATGATGCTTCACTGTCTTGTGGATCAGACCTTTAGGTCAAAGGCTCCGGGTGTGGACCCCAAATGCGAACGACCTTTCGGTCAAATTATAAATAAACTCTCATTGACCAATATGTATGTTTGTATTTGTGCTTAACATTGTTTTTCCAAAATATTTCCCTTTTTTTTAAAATTTTCTTCATTTTTTTTTGTTTCTAGCCTGATCCATTTTTTCAAGATGTTTATTTAAAACAAAATTTTTTACCAATTGTACAAACACAATTATTTGATAATACACCAACAGATAATGAAGAAATGCTTATACGTATGAGATTATGGCTTATACTTGCATTAGCTAAAGTAATAATTTGATTTTTTTTTTCTTTTAGTGTAATTCTATATACTACTTATATTCTATTGTTGATTATAATTGTTATATATAGTTAGTGTTATAAAGAATAGGACGTATCAGAGAGGGTTTTGTGGAGATTTCAGTATTTTCATAGTTAAAATCATTAGTCAATTGAAGCTAGATCACCACTGAAAACTTGGAAGCACTGGGCGGCCGTTTCATCCTATTATGGGACTCCTGAACAGTGCGCATCCATTAACACCGTTGGATGCCGGCTCAGTGGTTTATCGGTTAAGTGCTCTGGCGCGAGGCTAGTAGGTCTTAGGTTCGAATCTCGCTAACGAGGCGGGATCGTCGGTACGCATAGCCCTTCCAATTAAGTCGAACAACACCAGTGATCTGTTATATTAAGAGTTTAGTTTCTTAATATGCCGCGTATAACTCGAACGTCTAGAACCTTCCCAAGTCGCAAATAAGAAGACAGAAGACAAGTGAAAGGAATGTTATTCTAAAGAGTGTCAATTATTGTATAAAACTGTTAAGTATTTGTATTTTTAGTAAAAACGAAATCATACAGGGGGTTATTAGCATTTGTCCAATAGGAAAGCTATTCGTAGGGATTCTGAAATATTCTTCCGAAAGCTGATTGAATGGAATATGTTCGGCTGTTTCTCAGCTTTCTCGATTTCACCCATGGACCGTCCTCACATGATCGTTATAGAATCATTGAAAGTCGATCCTAGTTGTAGTATAAATCCATTGAATGTTTTCTTTGTTTTCGAACCCTGATTTCATAATTTTTAATGCTATGAATTCATCCCTTCATTTAAGATGACTTCTAGTTGAAGCCTATTTTTAAGATTGATTTAATTCACAGTTTGTAGTATGATTCTCCTGAATAGTATGTGTGTACAAGTCCCCCGTGTTCGTTTTTTCATGGTTTATAACTGATTTATTGACTGTCTTTGACGTTTGATTTCAACGATGACCATAGACAGAGAAGTATTATAGTTTGTAATTTGAATGTATCAATTACTTACGTGATACTTATCAAATTCATCATACATATGAAATACTATTTATGTGTGTGTCTAGTTCTATTTACTGTAAAACTTTGAATTTTACAAGTCTTGGTTTCAAATCCTGCATGCAGAGTCGTGGATACGCACTTCTGAGTAGTCCCATACTAGAGCGAGGTGTATTTCCATAGTATCCGATGACAAGCGATTGGCTCATACGCCATTTGTTTTCGTAGTATTCTGGAGCCCATATGCATCATTAGTTTGGAATCAGTGTGTTCCAACAGAGCTAACTTTCTCCACTCTCAGCCGTACCAAGGCATTTGGGGGCTATTATCTTGGTTGGTACTAATCACAATGTTGAGTATTAGTGATTAGGCGGTGATTGTTTCTGAAAGATAGATCGCATGATCTGAGTTGACGTATGTGAATAACTAAAATGGTGTTCGATAAAAATGTCTCATTTATATTTGCTTGTTTGTTTTTCTTTTTCATTTATTTATAGTTATGGTGTAAAAATGATGAAGCACGATGGTTTGGTATACGACATAATTTACCAGAAGTTCTTTTGGCTTATTTAAATGATATTTCACCAGAAGTATGTTGTATATTTTGTGACTAAATGTTAACATGTTGTTTTCACCTTTATAAAAATCTAATGCGTTAGCTTTTGACCTCTGTATGAACTTACGACATTTTGATAGGGATTATTGACGTACAATTTGAAACGATGGTATTGAATTCACAAGTCAATCTAGGCTAGACCACCATTGAAAACTTGGAAGCACTGACCGCTGTTTCGCTTCAATATGGGACTTAACTGTTCATATCCACAATCCTGCACACTAGACTTCAACCCAGTACCTTCGATTTTGCGTTTAGCCTCTTGACTATTTAGTCGGCATCCAACGGTGTTAATGTCTATCGATTAATGATCTTGCATAACACTTCATCTCTTGTCTTAGGTGGACAACTGTCTCCACCCGACACGGATTGAACTCCACTGGTCACGGTTTTTCAATAGAACTTCAACAGTTCCATCTTGAAGCTAGTCACTAGTGAACATATGGTCATTATCAGTTTAGGGGATTTGTAGAGATTATAGTTCGAGTTATGCGTGTGGGATCATCGATGCGCACTACTGAAGAGTCTCGTACTAGGACGAAACGGCCATCCAGTGTCTTCAGGTTTTCGATCGTTGTCTGGCTTAGATCGACTCTGGAGCTCAACTGTTAAAATAGTACGATTTCCACAAATTCTGATACTGGTTATTTTTTGTGTCTTAAGCCGTTGAACTCTTTAGCTCATCGATGCAGTAACAAAAGAGATTCACAGAGTTCATTTCGATTTTACTTTAAGTTACACAGAATGTAATATCAAATTGACAGTAGTCCGATTCATTTATTTTGACAGGTGCTTCTTAGCGGTTTTTCTTATGAGGTTGCTAATCACATATCCATATTATCTGAATTGGTGATTGTCAGTAACCCTGGTAGATGGTTACAGACAGTTGTTTTGACAAGTAGATTGTTAAAGATTAATCAGTGTTATTTATTATATCCTTCAATTGTCTTTCTCTCTCTCTGTGTTTATATGGACACTTTAGGTTCGAGCTGCAACAGTTTATGCTCTTGGCAACCTCATTGAAAATCAAACTACTGATTCATCGAAACAAAATCATGCAGATCAAGTGAGTTACATTTTTTTTATAAAAATTTTGTTTACGAGTGAAGTTTATTTCTCTTAGTTTCATTTAGTCATATAAGTCATATAAGTGTTCTTTGTCCTTTTAGACAACATAATCAACATAGATGTTAATAAGCAATAAGCTGTTCAGATTTTTGTACATATGTTCTGTTGATTTTGATCTTGATTGGTTATAGTTCTTGAGTGCTGTTAGAGGTATGAGGGCGGTTATCGCTTCGCGGTTGCTCACACTGTGGAAGGGTTCTTCTAGATGTACCTGAAAAGAAAATTGGATTAGAAGTGGTCTTAATGACCTGAGAGCGTGACCGCAGTGACCATGGGACAACTGCTTGAGGTCGGTCACACACACCTTTTTGTGGGTAGTTTTTGTGTTAGCTCCGTACTTGTTGGGACCATACCGCCGGAGACGAAAATCCGTGGGATAAGGCGAGGTGTGCATTTTTAGTGTCGACCTTTTCTAACCCCACCCCTCCTTGTGGGAAGGCAGCATCGCTGTTATGTTGGCTATCTGAAGGAAACACCTTACTGCCGTCACACTTCTGTACATTCAACAGTACGACTTCGCCTTCAGACCTTGGGATTGCTGCTTTTAGTCTTAGCGCTCTTTAACCGACCTGTTTGGCATGGTAGGACCTTGAGGAACGATTGTTCCATTCAGCATAGCTCGATTGGCTCATCACGATAGGCAAGCCCGACCACCACGTCAATGAAGCAGCAACGATCGGGATCGGTTATAGTTGGTTCTGAATATGGGTATCTATGTATATAGGAATTCGAGATTAACTATTGATTTATGAATATTGTTAAATATTGACTCTTGTGGGTTTGATTTCAATTTGTTTCTAGAAGGATTAGGGTATTATGTTTTTGCTACTGTGATTGTAAAGCTATTCAATACACTCTGGACCACAGTATTCTATCTGATGTCAGTTTTCGTCTGTTTTTGTTTATTCGTTTAATACTTGTGACAGTTGATAAATCCTTACTTGTTAAGTCTATCGAAGTGTCCAAATGACCCAATTGAGATACGCGCGAAATCGATGTTCACAAAACAACGATTTGTCTTAAAATAGCGGTTCTTTATTGAATAATATACAAAACTTAGTTGCAAACCTCAACTTGTAAGGTGTCTATGGCGTTTAACGCGTACTTTTGTACGAAATAAGAGGGGCTTCATATAATAGTAACATAAAGAGTAATTACAATATATGACAGTGAAGAAGACAGCTGATGGCTGTGTCTAAACTTGGTGACATTTTATCAACGAGCGAAAACCGAACTAGGAGCAAACAATATGAGAACTGGTGCATTTAAACAAATGCACAAAGCTGCAGATAACTGCTACAGTGAATAAGGTAAAGTACTTATAATTATAAATACAATGATAAGTACAATAAACGTTATAAGTATATGTGAATATTTCAGAACATTCGGTAACGACCTACATTATCATGTGAGTGTAAACTTTTCCGGCAAACAACTGCTTACTGATGATAAATAAGCAGTATAAAACAATATTCAAAAAACGTTGGCGAAATGCGAGTGAGAACATTGTAAAACGAATGTAATACATGTATTCTGTTAAAGTTAAGCTTTTGTAATCACGTTGCGTTTTATGTGATATACTATAATAATAGTAGGGCTAATTATTATTTGCTTCCATGTACCAGTGTATTTCTACTAACATCACACATTGTATTAGTTTCCTATAAAATGTATATTCAATCTTAAATCAAATTGTATGATATCTATGTTGTTGAATTGATTATTTTCATGTTTATAGCTGATCTCTTTTGGATAACAACTGACTATCAATATGTTATCAGCTTTCTCAAATGTTTTTACAATAATTAAATACTCTCTACCTGTTATGGTTATGACTAATGTTACTTAATTTTTTACTTACTTACACCTGTTACCCTTCCTGAAAGGGGATAAGCTACCCATTGATCTGTGTCCTGGAAACGTCTTTCCAGTTGTCTGTACTTGATATTGATTCTTTTGATATCCGCTTCCAATTTTCGATGTAATGTGTTCTTCGGCCTTCCTCTTTTCCGTTACCCTTCAGAATTCCAAGATAGAACTTGCTTCGTGATTCAGTTTGGTGATTTCTGCGATGTATTTTATTCTATCCACTTCCAGATTCATTTCCTAATTTCCTCTTCACATAGAAGGTGGTTCGTTCTCTCGCAAAGTAGTCTGTCGTTGATGGTATCCAATCAAGAGACATTTAGTATCTTGTATAGATAACTGTTTATAAACACTTATGCCTTTTTGCTGATGGTTGCAGTAGTTCACATGTTTCAGCTCCGTATATTGGAATTGTCTCGACGTTACGACCAATTTTATGTATTCTCTAATTCTTGTATTTATTCTGTCTGATTGATATCGTTTGATAAAGGAGCTTATATTGTCTTTCTGTTCAGCATCTTCATCGAATACTTCATGTAGTTGTAAACTTCTCAGTTATTCAACAATTGTGTCAGTTCATTCCGTTGGGACTGTTTATAACCGGTCATTATTGTGGATTTGGTTGTCTTCATTTTTATTTCAGTTAACTTCTGGTCTTCTGATGGTTTGATCTTTGTCGTATAAGTTGATAAATTGTCCCTATTTGACATTACCAATAGCATATCGTATTATGTGACTCCCAGTCTGTGTTCATCTCTCTCCAACGATAAGGACAAAGCTTAATACAATTAAATAGTCTAACTCGAAGTAGACAACTTATTTTAATAGTTGAAATCATGAGTCATTTGAAGCAAGACCACCATGGAAAACCTGGAAGCACTGGACTGCTGAGCAGTGCGCATCCACATATCGGTCAAGTGCTCATGCGCGAGACTGGTAGGTCCTGGGTTCGAATCTTGCTCGCAAGGCGAAATATTGAAATCTCCACAAACCTCTTCTGATTATACGAAAAACAATCATCTAAGCTGCAAATCTTTACCGTTATTACTTACTATTCAGTGATTGTATTGAATAATCAGATTCCTTTATTTTCTTCATTATTTTATAGATAAGTCATGAAATTGGTGGTCAATTAGTTAAATATTCATCACGTGATGCTTGTCCATTAGTACGTTGTATAGTTGTTGAAGCATTTCGTGGTTTAATTAAACAATTCGAATCACAATTATGCGCTATTGGTATACAATATATACAAGAAATATATCATAAACAATCTCAGTCAAAATCACATCAAAATTATACAAAATTATCATCATTACATTCAATAACATCATGTTCAACAAAAAGACCTATGCGTCATAGTACAATAAGTAAGTGTATTATTTATTTTGAATGTAAGACTTCTACCCGATGTTTGTGCTGATGATGTTGATCAGAAGAACGATGAAAGCTCCACGACCAAACCATCCAGCTCAGAGAATAAACCTAAATCAAAAAACAAGAAAACTGTAGTTGATTTTTATATCAAGTTTGTAAGAATTATAATAATCATAATAAATACAATGAATGTAATTAGATCTTGTAAAGGTTTCGGAAATTCATCATAAATATAAAGGTATATCATACAATACGACGAGAAATGATTAGAAATGAATTTTGGTTACTGAATAATAACAAGTAGTATAAATCTACATACAAAAATGTGTTGGTTATGTAAACAATGTGGTCTGTGAACTCTAACACACTTCATTCTACCTGTTTATATACTTTACTAGAAACATTTCTTGTATATCAGATGTTTATTGTTATTAATACTCATTCGCTTTGACTAGAGAAACCCTCAAATGTTTGGGTACAGTGGAGGGTGGGGAGAGTTCACTCTCCATCTATAAATCCTCACATTATCACGTGTATACAACCACTGTTAGGAAGGTTCTACACACTGCCTTCTCGTATCGAGGATATTGTTCACGAAATTCAAAGGGAGAAAAGCGAATTTTCGATGCTTTAACCGGGTTGGTGCATGAGGAGAAGAATCCAACTAGAGGAGTTGGAAAACTGTGATCACAAACTAATAGTGCACATGGGTTCCAGAATCCCAAGGAAACTAATTACGTATGAACCAATTACTGGTCACCGGATACCATGGGAATGCACCTCCTTAAGTTGCTGCACTGGTTTGTCGATTAGACCTTCATGTCAAAGGCTCGGGGAGTGATGACCTGAGGAAACCATCTGGTCCGGTTTGGGCACCGGACAGTATACCAGTCCTCACACAAATCGAATGATTTATGTGACGTATATCTACTTGGTGCCTCATTGTACCAATTTTTGTGTGTTGAAATAAGTAAAAAGTTATTGTCTATTCTTATATGTAATCAACATTTGGTCACCTAAATTGACTCATAAAGTTAAATTCATTATGATGAATTTTTTCTACTTATTCACTGAATGCAGCCTCGTGTACTTGACTTTAAGAGATACACTTCATTTATGAGAACTTTTTGTGCTGCCTAACTACTCTGATCGAAGTGTTTGAAGTGTGAGTTCGAATATGTAACTAAAAATCGGATACCTCAAAATGTTGGCCAAATACCCTCAAAATATATCAATAAGAATGATATTCCATTTATTTCTTGCTTTAAAAAAAGAATGTTCCGATATAAATACAACCTGTAGCATTTTAACTAGACTGGTAGAATTTTGGCTTCTTAACTCAGTAAAAGGAACTGCACAACTGTACTTAACCTCAAGCCAGACTTTTTTTTATCTGTGCATGTCACAGTCAACTGTCCAAACCGAAGTAGAATGATTTCAATGATGAAAGGTCCGAATTCGTATCTTTTAAATATAAATACTAGTTACGCTTCAAATAATAAACAACAAATGCCCTGGTACAGCCGAAGTGGGGAGGAGTTACCCTCCCTCTCGTAATGCTCTCCCATGGTCACGCGTATATAGCTTCTGCTAGGGAATTCTTACTCACTGCATTGTCGTGGCGTGCGTGTTGTTTAAGAAAGTGAGAGGACGAGAAGCGAACGTTCGGCGCTTTAACTGGGTTGGTGGACATGGGGTGTCCAAATAGGGGAGTTGGAAAACTCTGGTTCCAAACCAATTGTGCACATCGGCTCCAGTATCCTGAACGAACAAATGGCGTATGAATCAATCGTTGGTCACCGGTTACCATAGCACTAAATCTCCTCACGATGCTCCACTCTCTTGTGGATGAGACCTTTAGGTCAAAGGCTCCGGGTGTCCCCCCCTAAGTAAACCATCTTCAGTTCAGGCACCTGGGAAGTATCACAGTACTCACATAAATCCAATGAGATTTGTACGGTGCATATATATATCTGGTGTCCCTTTGTACCAATATTTATTTTTTGAAATAAAAAAAATGAATGGTATTTTTCATACAGTATATAAAATTTCATGGAATATGGAAGGTAATGTTGTCCGCTCTTATTAAATAGCACAATCACTCATCATCTTAGACACATCTACTTCACAGTCCATAAAAGAGAAGGGTTTGCACTTTCAAAGAAAAAACAAACTTAAACTCTAAATTCGTTTAGTATTGTTTGTTTGAATTTTCCCATCGATGTTTTAAGACTGCAACTGGTAAGTCCCCATCGCACAAGCAAGTGGCTATCAGGACTCAGTGGCCGAGTGGATAACGCGATGGCGTTTGAAGCGAGAGGTGCTGGGTTCGATTTGCAGAGTGAACATCAACTCTAAGATGCAGGTACATCCAGCTGATGAGTCTCAAATAGGACGAAACGCACGTCAAACTGGATTCTACTGCTAGCCACTATCCAAACTAAACATCTGTTTTGATGCTTTAAAAGAAGTTACTGTTGGATAATGAGTTTCTATTCCCGAGTATTTCCCTCATCAGTAGTTTGTTACGTATTGATCATGTTGTTTACTGTCACATTTCTTATGAAAAGCATGAAGCTTACTCTCCGTGAAAGTTATGTATTTATTATTATTGTTATTATTATTTAAACACCTTAATATTGGTATCAAGGGGAACCGAATAAATATGCGACACAAGTCACTGGATTCGTGTGTGTTGCGATGCAGCCTGAGTGTCCATGCTCAGGGGCCACGTTTGGAGCCTGTGACCTAAAGACCTACTTCACAAGGCAATGGAACGAATATTGAAGTAATACATGTCCAAATAAACTTCCGTTGTTTATATTTTTACATACAACATTTAAGTTATTGAGCTTTGGGGAATGTAAATTTATATACACTCAAAACTATTCATCTATTCTTGTTCTCTTTGGTTTTTTTATTTTTTAAATTAGGTATAGTTACTCCACCAGGAGGTTCAGGGAACGGTGGAAGCGGAGGTCTACATATATCTCGTCAATTAGAGTTAACTTCAAATCATATCAATGTACATGGTAGTTGGTTTTTAACAAAATCATCAAATCGAGAAGTTGATCCGCAACATAATTACAATTATAAAACTCATTTAATCAATACACAATCACAAGCTTCTCCAATTTTACGCAAATCTGTTTTCAATCCTGGTTCAGTGTTTTTTATTGGTTAGTTAGTTAGAATGTGTTATTTTGCTATAGATGACTTTTTGTTTGTACTAATTGGTATATGTCAGCAAGATGTATGTACCTGCCAGTTCAAGAATCGGATACTGTTTCACGGATTCGAACCTGGATCGTTTTGTTTCAAATCGCTATACATCTTGCATGAAGCATATATCGAGAGTTTATTATTGATTCACTTCAACTATCTAACATTTATCCATAGTACATGTAACATCGAGTCATTTAGACCATTGACCATATTACAGTTTGATCGATAGTATTTCTTTAGCTATATTGAGTACCAGGAAAAAGATGATATTGGAGTGTTCACTATTGGTCTTGAGTGCTGTTAGAGGTATGAGGGCAGTTATTACTTCCCGGTCGCCCACACCATGGAAGAGTTCTTCAAGAGGTACCTGAAAAGAAGGTGGTCTTAATGACCTGAGAGCGTGACCGCAGTGTCCAAGGGATATAACTGCTTGAGGTCGGTCATGCACGGCCTTTTTGTGGAGACTTTTTGACGTGTTAGCTCCGTACTTGTTAGGACCATACCGCCGGAGACGAAAATCCATGGGATAAGGCGAGGTGTGCATTTTTATGGTCGACCTTTTCTAACCGCACCCCTCCTTGTGGGAAGGCAGCATCGCTGTTATGTTAGCTATCTGAAGGTAACAGCCTACTGCTGTCACACCTTTGTACATTCAACAGTACGACTTCGCCTTCAGACCTTGGGATTGCTGCTTTTAGTGTTGCCGCTCTTTAACCGACCTGTTTGGCATGGTAGGACCTTGAGGAACGATTGTTCCATTCAGCATAGCTCGATTGGCTCATCACGATAGGCAATCCCGACCACCACGTCAATGAAGCAGCGACGGTCGGGTATCGGAGGGTTAGTTAGTCGTCATTCAGTTTAATAAGATAGATGTGCTTTTGTATCTCAGGATCTTAAAATTCATGTACACTATTTGTTTGGAGTAAGTGTTTTCCTCATTTCCTAGGTTGGGTATCCATTTATATCCACCAATCCAGTTTGATTGCTGTGTAATAACTGATTTGATACATCTATACTTCAAGCTGCTTCTTTACCTTGAACTTACTGACTGATGTTGAAGTGTTGTGAATTATGGAGAACATCGTTGACTTGAAGTTAAGGGTGGATTTTTGGTAATGTTTTGTGTATATTTGTGTATGTGTGTGTATGATCGGGAAGGAAGGTGAGGAACCTTTGAATGGTATAGTGTCAACCAACTGAAGGTAATGTTTGATTATGATAGGGCTAATGATCCAACGCCCTCAAATGTCCTTGTACGATCGAGAGTCAGAATAGTTAACTCTCCCTCTCTTTTACAAATCTCGTATTGTCATGCACATATACTCATTGTCAGGAAAATCCTAATGATATTCTGTTTTCTGGCGACAGGCTGTTGCTTACGAAATTGACAGAATAAAAGCTAATCGTCCAGTATGTACTTAATTTGGATTGATGAATACAGATGATTCATTTTAGGGGATTTCAGAAACATTCTTTTCAAATCAGTGATTCACATGAATTGCAGGCTATGAGAGAACAAAAAGAGTATGAATCTGTTGTTGATCACATGCTATCATGGGGACACTTTTCCTAATGTTTCTCCACTGCTTTATGGATTAGATCTCTAGATCAAAGGTTCAAAGAATAATCCGCTAAGAAAGCCAGCTGCTTCGGTTTAGGGATGTACATAAATAATGAGAAGACAGTGAGTAGGACTTCCCTGTCAGAGGCTATATACACGTGGCTATGTAAGAGCATTTCGAAAGGAAGAGTGGACTCTCCTCATTCTCGGCCGTACCAGGGCATTCGGGGGCGCTCATTTATATGTTTAGTATTGTATTGTTATTTTAACATTACTCTTTCTCTCTCTCTCTCTGTTCAATTATATATTTTTCAAGGGAGTGTTAATACACCTAGTACAAATATCTACGTTCAATTTTGGCTTACATTAGTTCAATTAGCTCAAGATCCTTATCCAGAAGTTTCTCGTCTAGCTACAATATTAATACAATATCTTTATGGAAAGGTAAAAGAAACCCCCCCCATTTTGATCTTATTATTTGCATAATTTTCTATTGATTTTTACCAATTATTTCCATGTTTATTTCACTGGACCGGATCCTAGGTTCGAATCTCGCGAGGTGGGGTCTTGAATGCGCACTGCTGGGGAGTCCCATAATAAGACGAAACGGCCGTCCAGTGCTTCCAGGTTTTCCATGGTAGTCTAGCTTCATTTGACTCATGATTTCAGCTGTGAAAATACTGAAATCTCCACAAAACCCTTTCTGCTCACTATTGGCTGACTTCACGAGATATTTCCTGGAGTTCTAGTGGGAAGCAGTGAACAGTGGAGTTCAACCACGTTTGTTGTAGAGATGTCAACTCACTGAAGACAATTGTTGAACGGTTGTTCAGATTTCGTGGATTAGTTGAAGTTAGACATTAACATGGTTAGATGCCAGCTCATTGGTCTATTTAAGTAGTGTAAAACATTTCTGTTTAATGTTTTTGAGTACTTAGTTACTTACTTACGCCTGTTACTCCCAATGGAGCATAGGCAGCCGACCAGCATTCTCCAGCCCACTCTGTCCTGAAGATAGTTGGTATCGTAGCATTAAAATAAGCATATGTGTGAATCAATAGTTAAAAGAGATTTCTATCTTATGTTTGTAGCTTCTTCTCTAATTGACTTTTTCATAAAGTGACTTTATTCCAGTATTCCGTTCAACATCAATCAACATTAGATGGTGGTCAACAGGAAACCCTGGACCCAGGTTTCGTGCTACTTGGCACTCGTCAGCAAGATGTACCTGCAATCTTGATGGTACTGGTGCTCCCTGACGGACTTGATCCCGTGTCACCTTGCTTCACAGTCGGAGACGTTACCACTGTGCTATTCAGGCAGCGACCGACTGGGTGTGAAGCGGAGTGACACGGGATCGAATCCATCAGGGAGCATCAGTTCTCTCGAGATTACAGATACACCTTGCTGACGAGTGCCAAGGAGCACGAAACCCGGTTTCAGGGTTTCCTGTTGATCACCTCCAACCACCATTTTATTTCAAAATAGTGCACGCAGTGCCGAGCCACCTAGACTAGTGGCCACATTGCAACTTGATAGATAGCATTCGATCAGCACTAAGAAGGATTTGATACGGATGACATTGATCACCACCCAGTGATTAATTAATTGTGATCAATCATGATTATACTGTGATCAAATAATGTTCTAACTTTTATTCCTCTAAGGTTATCGATTTCTTTTATTTTGTTTTCCTTTGTTTCTCTTTTCTCTCTGGTGTAGATTCGTGAAAAGGTATGTCATGTGTTGATTACGTAATATGGTATAAATTTCATTCATTTAATGTTATTATTGTATTATACATTAATTATAGAATGTGACGCTCATATTCTCGTATCATATTACTACAAATGTATAAAGCTCAGTTGTTGTTTTATTTCATTTACGATGTTGATGTAATAAGTTTTCGTCAACTGAAGACAGGTTTATTATGTAGCCGTTTTCTCTGTTCTACTCTTTACAGCTGTGAAATGTGAACTTAAAGAATAGGAGATATTCATAGGTTACTTATGTTGGACCATAGATACTTTCGAACTATTTTGGTGCTATAGAGTCAGTATTTTTGAGGTCAGACAGAGTACTAGTTATGTATGACAAGTGTATTGATGAGGTAATGAATTATGATCGGTTGGATCATGTAATATTCATTTCCATCCAACTACTTTGTCTCGTTATGATTGGGGGTGTTAGAGTAAGTTGGCAGAAAGCTATCAATGGCCAGACAAAGACAAGAGATTAGTCTATAAAGTTGCTAATTGTTAGACTTAGTCATGTAGATAGATACCAAATACTTAGTTGGAGCTTGCGAATTTATCGTAACGATTGGTTTGAGACTTGGGGTAACCTATTTGACAGCGTCATTGTGAACTCGTGCTACATTTTGGTGTAGTGATTGTTAGCTTTCTTTTGACATATCCCCATTATGTCTTGTGATAAGTGGTAGCAATGGTTACGTAACACATACTATGTAACTTTAGTCCATAGAGAATAGGAAATAAATTGATTATGAAATAGGTAGTCTCAATTGCATCATTCATTCATTGGTTACTAAAACATCCGTTTATTCGTGACGTGAAACTTCTTAGCTCACAATCATAATCTGATTGAGCAATAAGTTCTAGAGGAATCCCGTATATTCCAAGCTTCAAATCATTTCATGATATTACAAGACTATCAACTACATCTTTCCTTATCTTCTTATTCTGACTTTTGGAATTTGTCTCGAAATTAGTCAGTCACTAAATAAACACAAGACTGTTGTCATAAGTCTATTGTAATTAACTCGTCCACCGTATACAGACTTGTGTACTTGTTCTTAAGTTATCTGTAAAGATGGCTCGTTGGTAAACTCTAGGAAGCCTCAAGAAGCCCAGAAAGAGCCGAAGACATTCCATCCAATCACTACTAGGGGAATATTCTAGAATGTCGACGTGTAGCTTCCCTATTGGATAGATAAGAATGACCCTCTATTGGCTGTCCTAAATGATGATTTACTTTCAGCCAAAAAACTATAAGTACACGAGATTTTTGTACTATATTTTGACACTGATTTGGCTAATAAAATTCCTACTAACTATTCTTCTTTCTTCTCCGTTCCGACGTTGCGGGTTCGATCGATCAAGTAGTCTAGTAGTACGCGGCATAATAAGAATCAAAGGTCTAGATATAACATTATCAATAAAGCATAATGGCTAATGTTACTGCTTAATTACGCAGACGGGACTAGATTAAGTCACCGATTCATACTTGTTACTTAGTCGCTGAAAGTCTAGCTACTCAACTATTGAACTACCTCTCCAACTAGTTTTTGGAATAAAGATCTTTAAAGCGAAATTAATTACTACCATCAAATCAGTTCACGATGTAAATTACAAATGTTTTATCCCGACTGTTGCTGCTTCATTGACGTGGTCGTCGCGCTTGCCTATTTTGATGAGCCAATCGAGCTATGCTGAATGGAACAATCGTTCCTCAAGGTCCTACCATGCCAGACAGGTCGGTTAAAGAGCGGCAACACTAAAAGCAGCAATCCCAAGGTCTGAAGGCGAAGTCGTACTGTTGAATGTACAAAGGTGTGACAGCAGTAGGCTGTTTCTTTCAGATAGCCAACATAACAGCGATGCTGCCTTCCCACAAGGAGGGGTGGGGTTAGAAAAGGTCGACCATAAAAATGCACACCTCGCCTTATCCCATGGATTTTCGTCTCCGGCGGTATGGTCCCAACAAGTACGGAGCTAACACGTCAAAAATCCTCAAGAAAAAGGCCGTGCATGACCGACCCCAAGCAGTTGTCCTATGGGCACTGTGGTCACGTTCGCAGGTCGTTAAGACCAACACTAATCCAACTACTTTTTCAGGTCCCTCTAGAAATACCCTTCCAAGGTGTGGGCAACCGGGAAGTGATAACTGCCCTCATACCCGTAACTGCACACGTGACTAAGTTGGTCACATTCAAATCGCTGACTGACAAATGTTTTATTCGTTTTTAAAACTTTGATTTTTCCGACTTTTTCTTTTTATTCAGGCTGAATTTCAGGCTATTGGTTTCAATTCACCAAATAATAATGATAATAATGACAAATTTATCACGAATGATGATACAACTTTAATCCCATCATTGAATACATCATTATCTGCATTGAATGCATCATTTACAAGTAGTAATACATCTACGGACAATGTATCCAGTACTATAAATGAGTTGAATCGTGCAGCTGATAACATCAATTCATGTCGTTCAGAAAAGTAAATTTGGTTTTTCTGTTAGAGATTTGTTTAATTCTTATTTATTAGGTTTACTTTATGAACTAACTCCATAAAAAGATGGTATATCACAAGTTCATTGAAGTTAGAAATCTGTACCATTGAAGATGATCATGTTTTGGTCCATAATGATGAGATCATAGACTGTTGCTATGCTTTCTGTTCGATTGCTCCGATCTCTTCCTCCCATATTTATTTCTATATGAGCAGGTATTTCGGATTGAGGTTGACAATGGTTGGAAACAATATTCATATCATGTCTTTCAACTAAACTTGTCCAAAATTATGATAATAACTGTCTGTGACATCATTTTTTGGACATCTCCCTTTCCGTTTCGTTTTCCGGAAACATGTGTTCCCATGCTACATACATGTACATGTAAATGTGAAAATGCTGTTTTATTTATTTGAACACATAAACAGTAGTACAAGGAGAGACTGAGTAGATATTTGCCACATAAATCATTCGATTTGTGTGAGGGCTCTGATACTACCCGGGTGCCCAGACCAAACCAGGTGATTTCCTTAGCGGACCACCCCCTGACCCTTTGATCTGAAAGTCTAATCTACAAAGCAGTAGAGCAACGTAAAGAGGTACATTCCCATAGTATCCGGTGACCAGTAATTTGTTCATACTCCATTTTTCCCCCCTTAGGATTCTGGAGCCGATGTGCACCATTAGTTTGTAATTAGTGTTTCCCAACTCCTTTATTCAGATCCTCAATATCCATCAACCCGGTTAAACCGTCGGACACTGGCTTTTCTTCCTCTCAATTTCGTAAACAATACCACCGCCACGAGAATGTAGTGAGTAGGACTTTCCTGGTAGTGGTTGTATGCAAGGCGCCACTAGAGAGCATTTCGAGAGGAATATCTGACTCTCCTCACTCTCGGCCATAATAGGGCATTCAGGGGCAAATGGATGTACGGTTTAATATAATCGTTTCTGTAATCTTCATGCACGGGTTATCAATTTGACAGTTTATATGTTTTCGTGATGAATGTTATCAGGATCTGTTTCAGTGTTGAAAGCCTTCTTCTAGTCAGTTTCATTGTCATTGTCACTTACAATCAAGTTTCTGTTTTAGGTTTCTTATAAAGAGTTATGCTTCTAGTGTCAGATTAGCTACCGTAAGCTATATTCGAGATCCTTTTGTTCACTGAGGAATTGCATATCTATCTCCTTGTAATTCATTACGAAGCACTGAATATATGTCCGCTTTATTGATATTTAAAAGTTATTGTTTGTAAAGATGATCGTTTTGCAGTACATTGGTGGCTGCCTTTCAGTGAAAATCATCGATATATATTCAGTTTTAATTTACGACTCCTAAATTGCTCTCACCTTAGACTCGATTACTGAACTAAATCATAAACTTCCAGATATCATATGTATGATATTCAGTGATCTACATACGGAACGTCCATATCTATTTGCGGTATTGTATCATCATGGTCATGTGTGATGTGTGTGTATATCAGTTTTAACTGTAAATTTTTAATATGTTAGGAAAGCGACTGTGTTTTCAAAACTTTTTGTCTATCTATTTTAGTACTTTTGTTAAAGAATCAAGTTCTAATTCCATTACACCAATTACAACTACTTCTGGATTACAAATGACAACTACAAATCCATCTTCCAGTTCTCTTATACATTCTGCACAATTCCCAGGTCGACGATATCAACAAACTGATCAACGATTACGTGTATCTGTTACAAATTCTCCACAATTGCCTAATACAATAATGTCAAATAACACTGTAAGTTCTATTTTGTGAATTATATCATTCAAGAATTGTTTTTTCAATCAATCCACTGTTTAGTAAGATCATTTGGAAGAAAGCTAGGGGCTGCCAGAACAAAACGTGGCACAAATCCATGAAGTCACTGACAGTTGGACTGAGCCATGTTGGTAGGTTTAGACTATCTGGTTGGGATCCGCGAGATGATAGCAATCGATGGTTAGAGACCTTGAATGACATTACTGAAAATCGTTTGCAATGGTGAAGGTGCATTCACTCTTTGTGTTCTGCCAAATTCTAATCTTCTGAATTCTTCATGTCTCTATCTTTTCTCTTTTCAAATTTATTTCACTAGATTATACTCCTCGAATAACATCATCAAACCCTAATCTCTCGGAGTACTGCTTATACTCTTACTGCTTCTACCACTATGGGATTTGAATCGACAACTGCATCTCGGTGCTAATGTTGTATGGCAACTCGAACTGATGTACGTACGTACGAAGTTCTACGTTGTGACTGACTGACTAACTTTGTATGCTCAGTGAATCAAGAACAGTTGTATATTTCCATATTTGTTTAAAGAAGATCGTGTACTGGAAAACGGGTTTAGAATTAAAGTAATTTAGTATGAATAAAGATGAATTCATGACACCAGATCGCTTTGGTTCACCGTTAGTACAGCACATGTCGATTTTGAATAAGACGATAACTAAGTATGTGTCAGACCATGATAATTTTTCTTGACTTAAAAGCAGAATTCGATTCTGTAGACCGAGAGGTTCTGTGGCAGTGTTTGTCATGGAAAAGTGTACCTCAGAAATACAGAAACCTTGTGAATGCTCTTGACTAGAAAACTACTAGTCGAGTGAGAGCTTATGGCGTACTGTCATCTGATTTTACAACCTCAAGTGGTGTCTGACACGGCCGTCTACTATCTCCATTTTTGTTCAATTTCACCACAGACCTACCACTGGAAATAACATTCTTGTCTACTGAATTATCAGGAACTGATCTATTGACTTAGAATACAGAGATGACATAGACCTGTGTGGTCAAAACGCTGATAAAATCCAGTCTTTTGGCAGCATTGAGCAACAATCACAGTATGTTTGAGATGAGTTTCTCCCCCACTAAATGCAAGTACGTGCTCCAGGACTCGCCTGTGTTAACACCAGAAATAAGGGAAGTGAGTGAAGTAGTCGAACACGTCGATCGAGTGTTATTACTTAAGCATACGTTGACATCTAATTATTGAGTAATATTTGAGAAACATTTTGTTTTTATTACGATTAGGTAACATGTGGAGTTCCGGCTACTACTACTACTGATAATAGCGGTAATAATGGTAATTACCCGTCATCACTAGATACTGTACATACACAGTTTTTTGCTTGGTCTTGTCGATGGTTTACTCGTCCACTTTTATCTAAATATGGACAATTGAACAATGGACAATCAAAAAGTCAAACTACCTCAAAAAACTCCTTCGGTAACAACTTGATATTATTTTTTATTTTTTTATATATGAATTTTGATTTCATTCTCGTTGTTGATGTGAATTGATCAGTTTCTGTTAAATAACGATAGGAAATCGGCTTATAATGTTGTGTGGAATTTTCGTCGAATGAGCTAGTGTTGGTGATAGAGACGTGTATTACACCTACCTGGACACTACTCCCTTCAACGTATGATGTTGGATGATGCAAGAGTAAAGCCATGAAGTTATTGACTGTTGCACTAATTTGTATTAGTAAGTATAGACCCTGTGGTTGGTGTTGAGTGTGATCATTGGATGAAGACAGATATTGGGTGATATGGAACAATATCGGTTTTAACTGCATGAATTCATTTGTTCTTGATCTTTCCCTAAATGCTGAATTTAAAAATTACCTATTGGAGGTTACTTCACAAATTCATTCTCTCTTGAACTGTATTTTGAAAGTCTGACATTTCCTACTCTCATTGTTATGTTGACTAGTTCTATTACTCATACATTTGCTTTGATTTTATCATCTCATTTTACTGATATTTTGGGGCATTTCGAACCGATACACTTACATTACCTGTGACTTGGTGACTGTTTCGTTATTGGTGTCATGTTATGGGATCTCCTTGAAATGTTGGATGTGTTTTTCATTCTATTGATAAGACTAATCCCAAATAAGACGAAACGCGCGTCCTGGATTCCACTGCTAGCCACTATCCATCTATTGATAAGACTGTTGAAAAGTGATCGTCATATGAATACGTCTTCATATGTTATATCCGTTCTTTTAAGCTCTTTGTACCGACTAGAGCAATTCGTTAGGTAAGATGAATTTTGTTATCTTCATGGTCGTACTTTTTTTTAAAACCCTTTACTTCCATTGTAGGAAGCCAACATCTTTGTATAAGTTGGTTGTTTGAAGTTAACAGCTTACTAATGTTACACCTTGGATCTCACCTTGGTACTTTTAGTTTCATCGCTTTTCAATTCATCTGCTCAAGATAGAAAGACTCAAGAAAGTGAGTATCCTAGACACTATATATTTTGGTTGTCCCCTACATGATAGGGAAATCCGACCATCATGTCAAAATTAACAGCCCACGGTCAAGTTTTTGTATTAGTGTTGGTATGGCATTAATTATTGTTATTAATATGTCTACTTGTGTTCCTTATACTACTCATCAGCTTTTCTTATTCTTGTCACAATTTTACTACAGATTATGAACCAGTCTCATTGGGTACAATCTCTACTGATCCAAAAGCAGTCGCTTATACAGATCGTGTAAATCGTTTAAAGAAACAACGTAAAATATCTCATCTTGGACGTTTACAATGGGAACGTATTGCTGGACAAATTTCACATTCATTAGTTACATCTACTATAAATGCTAATACGACAACAACTACAATTAATCGAAATATTTCTGTTTGTAATCCAACACCTAGTTATAATACTAATAATAACATTAGTAGTATTATGAGTAGAAGTCGTATTAGTCTTCGTAGTAATGATAGTGGTGATAGTAATATAAATGATTCCTTAGATGATTGCTGTTTACATCCTGTGGCTTTTTATCATCATCCTCTTAATCATCATATTAATAATAGCAGTAATGATACTTTTTGTTCTATATCAAGTCAAGTGAAATTTCATCCATATCAACCACATTTAGTCATGATTAATTCTGATCGTAAAGGTGTTGTAATACATTCAACAAAAAATTTAAAACTTTTACATTCAATTAATACATTTAGTGCAAAATCATCATTATTCCCTGAGTTTCCTTCAACGATAGATGGGTAAGTTGTGTACAGTTTTGTTGAATACTATTATTTATATTTTTTGTTTGATACAATCTATTGCTTTGGTACGGCCGAGAGTGGGGAGAGTCTGTTCTCCCTCTATATGTCGGCATTCTTTCGGAGACAACGACGAGCAATCATAGGGAGTTGTTTAACATTCTCAACTTGGAGAGACCAGGTTTCACAATTATAGAGGAAAACTGTTCTCACTTACGCATTGTAGATCCGAACATTTGTAGCCAAACTGACATCAGCAAGTCACTAAAGATGACCCATAATGGCATAAGCTGCTTTGCTTTTCACAATAACTGAATTGATCTCATAGCTCACACGACCACGAGCACTTATGCAGTTACCAAAGTGCACAAACGTCTTGACTACTTCTATCTGCTTACTGCCTATTATGAGTGCAGGACCAGGGTCCTACCACTCGTGTAAAAGTACTTTGCACTTGTAAGGTACAAAGGACATACCATACTAACGGACACTTACTGCGAGCTGATTAAGTGCGGATTGTATGGATTGGTTGTCATCACACAGTAAGACAATATCATCCGCCCACTCAAGGTTGGGAAGTCCTTCCTTAGGCAACAGATCTACACCACTATTACCTACATCCATCTGAGCTGTTTCCAGAACTTCATCGATGGCAAAGTTGTAGTTGAACGATAAGATTGAGAAACCCGGTCTAACCATTGCTTGAATGGAAAAACGGAGGAGGTGATTTTATGCCACCACTCTGATTGATGTGTTTGTGTATAGGGCTTTTAAAATGTTAATAAGCTTCCCAGGCACACTTCTTCAACAGACAATCCCAGAGAACAGTCCTGTCCTACGAATCGAAGGTAGCACTGATGTCAAGAAACACTACGATTGTTGGCCTGTAATGAATATGGCGGTGTTCTAACATTTGGGAGAGGATGAAGATATGATCAATATATCCTCGATCAGAACGAAAACCAACCTGTTCCTCTCGAGTCAATTTTTCTTGGGTTTCGAATAATGTACGAAGTATGATGGAAAGCAATAGTTTGGATGCAGTCGGAAGTAGACGTATCCCTTGATAGTTGTCACATAAACGACGTGAACCCTTTTTAAATTTAGAGGCAGTTGTCAACTCATTCTATGGTGTTGGAAGACTTTCTAACTCCCAAACCTTCGTAAACAACTCAAACAGTTTCATGACCAGAAAGTCACCACCATCAATCATATTTCACTTATATTAGCGACAGATTCTTAGTGAATTTGTTTAAAAAGTGCTTTGTGTTGTATGTGGGATTCAAGGATGATTAGTTGTTGATATTACGGATAGACTGATAGATAGTTAATCACGTGGTCAAAGGTTAATCAAGTAAACCAGTTGACTAGAATAAAAGGCAACTAAATTTACAAATAAGCCCAATTGGGAACAGGAGATACCAGCATGTATTGATTTAGAGATGGAAAAATAACTGCTAGCTCACTTCTACATGAGGTAGAGTCTGAAAATATTGTCCAGACTAAATATAAAAGCTTCTCAATTGAACTATCTAATTCAGAGAACCAAAGTTGGTGATCCATTTGAGCTGTAATTCATTTTCATCATATATTGTATACCTACTTTGCTTCATTGTTTTAGGTATTCACGTGTTGGATGCGTCACTGATATCGAATTTATAAACGCAGATGAAGAGGAAAGTTTGTTGTTAACTGCAACAGATGATGGTTACATTCGTATATGGCGTAATTATACACACCATCTTGGTCAAGATCCTGAAATCTTAACTGCTTGGTAAGATTATTACTTTGTCTGTATTTATGTGTGTGCGTGCGCACATATCAATAAATTTGCTGTATACTGCGAAACATTAGAAGAGGAGATTGTTCATTTAAAACACTGATCCTTTTCAATTTTTAGAAAATGTTATACGACTTGTATTTTCACTGACATTCACCTCCGAGACCATCGCCGCCGACCAGGATTCTCCAGCTAGCTCTGTCATAAACTCTCCTTTCCAATCTTCCTTTAACCCTATTCAGTAATTTGATGTCTCTTTCCGATTTCCAACGCGTTGTGGTTTCTAAAATCTGGAGCTCTTCTAGGTTTACTGGCTGTCCTAAGCCTAAATGAGGTAGGAGGGTTGGTCATGTGAATATCAACCTCATTCTGTAAAGAGGAACTTTTTTTGTTATGTCTCATTAGTAGAAAACTGCATTTCCGGTATTTCGTAACCTAATGCAAGCCACTTTCTCAGAGTAAATAGTTAAACGGCCTCAATATCTATAATTTTCTGTGTTATAAACTGAAAGGACTCTATGAAACTTTCATATTACTGATGAGACAACAGTCATCTGCTTATTAGAAACTTATCTCGTGAGTTTATTTTCGGAATTCTAGTGAGAATCCATTACTAGTGGATTTCGATCATGTTCAAACATGAGGCAGTTACCTATTAATGAGAATAGACGGTAGTTACGCAATATCATAAGTAAATTGATGTTGGACTTGTGAACTATTGGATCTGAACTTAATGGTTTATCAGTTAAACACTTTCATTATGATTTGGAGATCCTGAGTTTTATTTCCGTTTTGGGTCATATATACACAGACTGGTACTGATAATCTTTCTTTTAAAAGTTTATAAAGTTTATTTCAAGCTGGTTTGTAATATAATCCATTGTGTTAATCTTGTAGAGAATAAAATACACACCTTTCACGTGGGTGTTAAAAGCCCTTGAAAGGTTATTGGAATCATCTGTTTCCTTCAGGTGATATCCTCTTGATTTTAGTTACAGATGATGAATTCAGCTAAGTGTTTTTTTTAGCATTTTCGCCTTCTAATTTTGTCTCGGAGATAGATATTCATACTCAAGTAAGTTATAGTTTTATAGGATACAGAGTGTAGAAATCAATTAAGAAGTTAACGTTACCATCATCCAATGTTTTAAGATGAGAGTAACATATTCTTTTGACTGTATGGGGTGGTGACTTCAAACATACCTATACTGTTACCTCAATGAAAACTTGCAAAATTTCTCTTAAACTAGTCTTATAAATGATCTGGAACCAGAGAATTGGCGTATGATCGGTTCGAATCCCGCGAGGCGGGATCGTGGATGCGCATTGCTGAGGAGTCCCACAATAAAACGAAACGGCCGTCCAGTGCTTTCAGGTTTTCCATGGTGGTCTAGCTTCACCCGAATCATGATCTTAACTATATAAGGTTGCATATTAGTTGTAAAGAATATTTTTACGGAGATCTATGCAGTTTTTAATAATCGGTCATAAGCGCCAGAAAGTCATTCAGTTTTTATGTTTTAATTGATTGTCTGTCTTCGTAGAATTTGTCTCTTTATTTCATTGACTTTTTCTTTCTTATACACTACAAAAGGAATGGAATCACAGATTTATATCAAACTGATTATCCAGTTGGTGTTGTTGTTCATTGGAGTCAACATGCAAATCAACTCATGGTATCCGGTGATACACGTATCATACGTATATGGGATTGTTTATGTGAATCAAAATTAAGAGATATTAGTACAGGATCAGATACATCAGTGACATGTTTAACAAAAAGTATTGATAATCATTTATTAGCTGCTGGATTCAATGATGGTGGTATACGTGTATGGGATGTACGTGTACCATCTATGAATCATATTAGTTGTAATAATATTGGTGGCAGTAGTAGTAGTAGTAATGATAAGTAAGTTATATTTTAATCCTTTTCTTTTCTTTACAATACTTTACAAATATAATTCTAAATCTTAAAGCCCTGACCGTTGCTGCTACCTTGACATGGTGGTCGGGCTTGTCTATCGTGATGAACCAATCGAGCTATACTGGCTGGAACAATCGTTCCTCAAGTTCCTACCATGCCAGACAGGTCGGTTGGTGAGCGGTAACACTAAAAGCAGCAAACCCAAGGTCCGAAGGCGAAATCGTACTGTTGACTGTACAGAGGTGTAACATCAGTAAGGTGTTTCCTTCAGACAACCAGCATAAAAGCGATTCTGCCTTTCGACAAGGAGGGTTTGGGTTAGAAAAGGTCGACCCTAAAAACACACACCTCGCCTTATCCCACGGAACTAACACAAAAGGTGTTGTGTGACCGACCTCAAGCAGTTGTCCCTTGGGCACTGCGGTCACGCTCTCAGGTCATTAAGACCACGTCTAACCCAATTTCCTTTTTAGGTACCTCTATAAGAACCCTTACACGGTGTGGGCAACCGGGAAGTGATATCTGCCCTCATACCTCTAACAGCACTCAAGACCACTGTCCTGACTGATTGACAGATTTTATATTAGTGTGTGTATCATTGAAAGGCATACCAAAAAGATTCATTAACTTTTTACAGACTAAAACTGTGATTGGAATTGATAACTTCAAATGGTGTTCTTCCGTGTTGTCTGCTTTTCCAGTTTCACTTAACTTTGTCATAAACATTCTTTAAGAGATAACAATGTCATCGTCTAACTTTTCAGGGGTCGATCTTCTAATAAGAGGATCTATGGCTTACTTGGATGATATTGTTTCATTTGGTGACAACTCTGTCATCATCATACACAAATCCTAGTAGATTCTCTAATGCTATTATTCACTGTACTCAAAAAGCTTTACGTGATCGGATGTATTCAGAAAGTAACCCCGCGTGATTGTCTGCGTTCAACCATGTCCAATGTGATAAAGATACCCATTGAATACATTCATCTACCACAGGATTGCTCGATATTGTGTGTTGATTGCTTTTAGACATTGATACTTTTGAACGTGGTTTAGAAGTTAACCAGCCAGTCAGTTCAGTCGCAACGTAGAACCTGGTACGTATATAAATCGTTTCAAATTGCCATAAACCATTAGCATAGAGATCAAGTTGTCTGACTAAATTCTATAATACTACAGGATTAATTTCATGTCTTCATTTGTCCCTCTAGCTTCCTTCCAGACTACTGTTACACTATACACCGTCAATCTTCTAGATGGGCAGAAGGTTAACTGCTCGCACACGAAACCGAAGGTCCTGGATTCGACTCTTAGACAAGAGGTCGTGTATATCTAATTCGTACTACTTGAACGAAATTGTCGCATAGTTCATGATTCCAATGAAACTCAGCAGCTCTGTACTTTTATTTATTTATTTATTTGAACACATAAATATTGGTACAAAGGGTCACCGAATACATATGCGCCACATAAATCTCATTTGATTTGTGTGAGGACTGTGATACTGACCAGGTGCCCAAACTGAAACAGGTGGTTTTCTTAGGGGGTCACACCCGGAGTCTTTGATCTAAAGGTCTGATCCATAAGGCAGTGGAGCATCGTGACTATATGCAGTCACATGGTAGTCGGTGACCATATTTGGAATTGCAATTGTTATGTGTTCTGTAATTTCATTATGTTGTATTTTTGTTCTTCTCTAGTCTTATTTTCAATAGTCAAGCTGATACTGCTAGAATTTTCAAAGTTGTTTTTTCATCAACTAATCGATTATATGCTGTTGGTGCTATGGGTGGAATTGGTGCTTGGCATTTATCATTTCCAAATGAGAATAATAATACTACTACCCCTACAACAACCACTTCAAATACTTCACTTCTAACAACTTCATTGAATTCTAGTAATAATGGCAGTAGTACTCGTCATGATCATAATAATCTCACAAATCATCCATGTAGATATATATCCACAGTGATTAGATCATCAACAAATAATAGTATTAATAATTCTTCAACAACTCGACGATTTCGACGTTTACCTTGTCCACCACGTTTATCTTTACCAATGAATTCATCGGTTAATTGTGCTGATTTATTGGTAAGTTGTTTGAATATCTTTAATATTTGGTTGAGTCCTTTTCTCATTTAAGAATTACAAGTTTCAAGCATTATTACAATGTAATTGTAGTAAATTACAACGAGGAAAAGAAGAGACGAAACACGTCATTCACTGTTTTCTAGTGTAGACTCCTCTTCTTCCAACCATAGGAACATGGTGAAGCCTAGTTGGCCCTTCTGAAGAAGAGTGCTACATCGAAGCACGGCACAAGTATCAGGGCTTAATAGTTGTTTTAGCATTGTTTACGCAGAATCATTACATAACACTTCCATTCTGTTTTTCTGGGCAGACACATTTTTTCCCATCTTTTTGAACTCTCAATAATTATGCAATGTTTCTTTGTAGCATCCGTTATCATATGTGGGTATAGGTAGAGTGGTTGATTAGGCCGATCTCCACCACCCGTGTTACCGCTTAAGTTAGTACATGGGATAAGTGTCATGATCCAGAAGGCGCGACGAGGACGTGTGGGTCGGGTTTCGCCTCTCTTTTCTGGCGTAAAAGTTGGTTGAAACCGTACGTGCACAAACGCTTCAGTCCATTATGTCATAGACTGTTCATGGTGAATAATGGTATATTTAAAAAGTAACTAGAGTTTCTAATGTTTCATGATTATAGTTGTTATGAACGTAGGATACTTGTTATAACGCAAGGGTTTTTGGTTATAATAGTCCTTTCACTTTTTCCAGGTGTATGGAATGGTAATTTGCCTTAGATGAATATGTACACTAGATTCCCACCCAGTGTCTATTCTACAGGACTTGAACACAACTCAGATCAAGAACACAAGATTAAGCTGACTAGAACGTCAGTATACTTCCACACCAAAATCCGACACAATCCAACAAAAAGACACGGTCAGTCAATGATAATAATAAGGATAAGGGAATATATAACACATATAACATCTGTCACACTATCTACACATGTCTGACTCAGCAAAACAACCAATCATTATCATTCTCGTTCACACATCAATAATGTAAACCATTTCTTCTTCAGAGTTAATAAATGATTGTTAGAGGTTTTGAATGATATTGTTCAGAATCAATTAGAATGGTTTGAATAATTTTTTCTCGTGAGCGTTTTTTTAAGGAGTTAGTTTTCTAAGGGATGGGTCGCTAACCCCATGTTCAACCGTCCTTCTTTATCCGGTCTTGGGTCCGGCAGTAGCTTTTGGAGGAACTACAGGCGGAGTTCATCGATTACAATGACCCAAGTGTATTTTCTCGTTTGTTTTCCTTTAGATTTTAAGTTTGAAAATTGTCTCACAATTCTTTATTTATTCCGATAATTTCTTTTCCCACAAACGCTCTTGTAAGGTCGATAATATTGTAAGTTCACTCTCCGTCTACAAATGCTCTCACATAGCCACTTGTATACAGTCACTGTTGAGTTAGTCTTACTCATTGCTTCTTTATGAAGCTGGGTGTTGTTTACAAAATTGAGAGGCCGGAAAGAGAACATCCGGTTCTCTAACGGGGTAAGTGGCCACGGAAACTTCATCTACGCGCAATTGAAAAACTCTGGTTCCAAACCGATAGTACACATGGGCTCCGAGATATTGCTGGAATAAATGGCGTATGAACCTATCGTTGATTACCGGCTACTATGGGACTGTATCTATTAACGTTGTTTTACTGCCTTATGGATTATAGATTTAGATCACGGATTGGTTAAAAACTAATTGTTTTCATTATCATTAAAACATCACTAGATTGTAAAATAACACATTTGTTCTCAACCCTATCACCCTTATAATTTGCTTACTGTCAATCATGCTTTACACTACAGAATGACTTTTCAAGCATATGGTGATTGTTTCTTGACCGTATCAGGGTATTCGGGGGGGGGGCTGTTCCAATAAATACATAGATCTTTTTGCCGGATTTCCGTACCTCATATAATTATGCATATATATATGTATTGTTACTTTGTTTTAATTAGGTTAATTTATCATCACCACATGCACATCTAGCATTAGCTGGTACTCGTGGTCAATCAAGTATTTCATTACATCGTATTCAAGATGGTAGTCTACATTCTTCTATCAAAAATTTTAATAATACTACTACTAATAACAATACTTTCGGTCGTGAACAATTTGGAACTCCTATTTGTTGTGCGTTTCATCCAAATGAGGTTTGTATCATTGTTGATGTAATGCTTATTTCTTTTTGTTTATGAAGGTTTTGATTATAAATACAAATTGATCTCAGCGTTAACATAACCTTCTGATAATTAATATGATCATATCCTCACCAGTGACTTCGGAAAGTACATCCAGGAGCTCTAGTGAGAAGCAGTGACTAGTGGAGTTCAAAACCACGTCTGTTGTGAGTTAGGAACTCACTGATGACAATTGGTGAATGGTTGCTCAACTTCGTGGATCAGTTGAAGTTAGACATTAACACCGGTGGTGTCCAACTCAGTGGTTTATCGGTTAAGGGCTTCGGCTTGAGACTGGTAGGTCCTGGGTTCGAATCTCGCGAGAGCGGGTTCGTGGGTGCACACTGCTGAGGAGTCCCATGGTTGGACAAGACGGCCGTCCAGTGTTTCCAGGTTTTCCTTGGTGGTCTAGCTTCAATTGACTCATGCTTTCAACTATGAAACATACTAAATCTCCACAAAACCCCTTCTGATAACCTGTTTTTGCTTTTTTTTTCGAGGAATTTTCTCGGTATCCTAAACAGTGCTGTTGTCAGCCTCGATTCTATGTATGATCGATGGTGTTTGGAGCGGAAACACTAAGCATCATTTAAGGTGTTATAACAGTAATATCCGACTAGGGTAATATCAATATAGCGAAAAGAAATATCTATACACTCATACCACAGGCCTTTGTGGTGATATTTAGATTTTATAACTTATATTACAATTGAAACGTGGACATCCATTGAAAGGAATAAAACCTTGAACAACTATTTGGCGGCCTCAATGTTCCCTTATCCACCAATGAATGTTTACTTAGTGACCTAGAGCTTAATCGCTTGTTAATTCTGGTTTAGATCCTCGAGAAATTTTTGGTGTATACCACTGAAGTGCTTATTTTCGAATGTAACATTTCACTTAGTATCAGTTGTTTGAATCTTCCCATTAATGTTTAGGACTGCAACTGGTCAGTCTCTTATTAGGTACTGAATTCGATTCCCAAAGTGAACATCAACAAGCCTAAGATGCAGGTACATCCAGCTGACGAATCTTAAATAGGACGAAACGCGCGTCAAACTGGATTCCACTGTTAACCACTATCTATCCATCTTTGCTTTTAATGTTTGTGAATCAAGGTTATGTCGAGGTAATACGCACAGTATGCATATATGGCCGATCGGAGACTGACCAGTTGTAGTCCTAAACATCAATGGAAAGATTCAAACAACCAACACTAATTGAATTTAAACGTCACCCGATTGCACATGCAAGTAGCTATGAGGATCCAGTAGCTGAGTAGATAACGCGATAGCGTTTGAAGTGAAAGTTATTGGGTTCGAGTCCATCGCAGAGTGAACATCAACAAGACTGAGATGCAGGTATATCCAGCTGACGAGTCCCAAATAGGACGAAACGCGCGTCAAACTGGATTCCACTGCTAACTACTATCCATCCATATTTGCTTACAACGAATGTAATATTTGTTTACTACTTTGATGTTTTAAGTTAGTTCATGTTCTTTATATTTCCATTTTGTTCTAATGTTGTTTTTTTGTTTGTTTGTTTGTTCTATAACTAGCCATTAATTGCAGCCGGTTTCCATGATCGTACACTTGTTCTTTTAAATGTTCAAAATAAATCTATCAATAAAGAAGTATAAAACTAATTGATGAGTATTTTATCACACCAACACACACACACACACTTTGTATATGATTATATCTCTTTCTCTTTCCATTCTCTACGGACTATTCAATTATACTAATCATTTTTATGGTTTACCTACATGTTTGTTTGTCACCTAATAAACAGTAATAGTTGTACATGAATTGGTTTCAGTTTGTACAGAGGTGTAGAGAAACCATAGTTATCGGTGTTTCTTTTGCTTATCATTGTGAATATCCCTGTGATCATTACTACTATTATTACTACAATTTTTTTGTTTCACTTATTATCTAATTAAACTGATTACATGAATGAGAATACTGTTCATTGTTTAGGTATCCACACACACACATACACAAAGTGAGAGAGAGAGAGTGAGTAGGAGATGAACTTGTTGTTACAGTATTGTTCATAATTATTGTAATTTATCATTTCTCATATTTTGATAATGATTTGTTCTAGAGTTGTTTCTCTCTCTCTATATATAGCAAAACAACCCCAAAACTGTACTTGTATTTGAAAAGGGAAACGAAAAAAGGATAAGATTTGTGTCACGGTAACAACAAGCCTTTTTTGGTGGTGGTAGTAGTAGTAGTAGTGGTGGTGGTGATGATGATTACGATGATGGTGTAGTGGTATTTGTAGTAGTGATGATGATAATGGGGTTGGTGGAGGTAGTAGCGATAATGTTGTGAAGGGTGTTCCCATTGAATTGAGTAGTTTTGTGTAACATGTAAAAAAATCTGTTATTATTTTTTATTGAAGATTTTATTTTTCATTATAATTTTTCAGTTTATTCATATAATTTTTATTTCCTTTTTCATTCAATACAATTAAAGATATTGTAACAGATGTAAAGTTGTCATAGCAACAAAACAAACCCTTTGTTTTGTAAAGATAGATTTCAGTGATTGAGTTACCTGTGTATACTACTTGAAGAGTAATGTGTTATTTCATATTGTTCTCTACAAGATTGTCTAATCATGATGATGAAAGTGTATGTGTGTGTGTTTGTATGACATATGTACGTATGTATAGACACAAGTGTTCTTTTTTTGTTGCTGTTGTTTTATAGTTATACCCGGTCTTTCTGATGATATTGCTTCTATATATCTATATATATATATATGCTTTGTTTTACAATTATTGTGTTTATTATATGCAATAAGAGATGAAGTCATATATTAATCAAATGGTATATATATATATATATATATATATATATATATATATATATATATATACTCCGTCTGTAGCTCCTCTGAGGGAATGTCCAGACAATGTGGGAGACCGGAAGAGCCTTCCAAATTGCTGCAGAAATATTATTTTTATGCTTACAATGCTTGTGAAATAAGGCTATATCGAGGCATCAATACGCACAGTATGCACATATGGCCAAGTTATACTAATTGAATTTAAACTTCACCCCATTACACAAGCAAGTTGCTATCAGAACTGGCCAAGTGAATAATGCGATGGCGTTTGAAACGAACGGTACTGGGTTCATGTCCCGAAATGAACATCAACTTTGAGATGCAGGTTCATCCAGCTGATGAGTCCCAAATAGGACGAAACGCGCGTCAAACTGGATTCCACTGCTAGCCACTATCCTTCTTTGTTTAGAAAGCTTGTGAATTAAGGCTATATGGAGGCAATAGGCACAGTATGCATATCTGCCAATTAGAGACTGACCAGTTGCAATCCTGAACATCAATGGGAAGATTCTAACAAACAACACTAAGTGAATCTAAATGGTTTTCGTTTGAATCCAAGCGATTTGACAATGTTTTATCTGATATAAAGATTTCCTACTTGATAAGCTTGTTTCATTTAACTCGGTGTTAGGCAGCTGCATGTGCTTTTGTTGTGAATTTATACCGTGATTTAATCACCCATGGAAATACGATTTATCCAATCATAGCACTGTGCTAAACCAATAATTTTCGACCGGTATGAGTAGCCTTGCGCCTTAATTAGTCTTTTGTCCGTCAAGCCCTTTCAATTGAGTCCAGGCCACTAATAACACCTGCTAGGCGAATCATTTATTTCAAGCGTACACGGTACATATGCCAGACAGATAGACCGCATCATACCATAAAATAGAAAATACTATTTGTACAGGATCAAGCCAAATGTGAACGTGGCAGACGGTAATAAGTAAACTGAAGATAATTCGATGACTGTAAATCGTAAAATAATAATCTATAAGTCGAAATGAGACTTATGATAAGAGTACTATAGATATAATTAATCTAGTCCATTAATAGATCTCAGAAGTTACCTGTACTTTATCTTCACTAGGGTATAACAGCTTTGTCATGCGACGTACAAGAGTGGATACTGATATTGTTTCTCACTGGAAAGGTGTTATGTATTGCTTTTTAAGCAACGTTGCTTCCTAAGGGATGGGTATGCTGACCCTACCCCCAACCCTTTTTCTTTATTCATGCAGGGAAACAACTGGAAAATATTGTCTAGTACAGAGTTTGACGGGCAATGTTGGTGGGCGGTATATGCTCCTGGTTAAGGGGTATCAGGTTTAAGTAAGCAATTATAACTTATCATATAATAAGGGATATCAATCTCTCAGCATGAGGATTTTAGAGGTATGGTCTACTCTCGATGAGGCCATAATTTATGGAAGCTCTTTAAACGATGCTTAAGTGACCATAAGAGCCTTCTTTGCTATTTTCATAAGAGAGCTGTAAATAATGTAAGGTATTAACTTAAGGTTTTAGAACTATAGGTTAGAGTTAGGAATAGGAACGTCATAAATCAGTCCCGGTTATCAAACTCAACATTTGAGAATATCCGGGCATTTATAGACACTAAATGATTCAAATATGGTCAACTGAACAAGTGTAGAAATTATGATCGATCAGTTTATTCTTGCTAACTATATTATTTGACAAGACAGTGAAATGTTCACAATCGTTCTGTTAGGAAAACTCAGTAGGGCTAATAATACCTCTACTTAGGCGATGAGAGGATTTCGAGATATTACTATCGCGTTTATAGAGAGAACACTGAAAAAGATGGGTAATATCATGAAATTCTAGGAATCTGCATTGTGATACGAAAGTAATAAGTATGAAAGTACTGAAACGTGAAATCTTCATCACCACAACAATCACAAGTATGGAAATCATCGTCGCCATCTTCAAAATCATCGACTCACTCACATTCCTTCTGAAGGTCATCCTCAGAGTGATCACGTGACCGTCAACACACTCATCAGTTTCGTCGTCCGCGCCATCTTCATCAACATCACCACTATGGAAGTCATCGTCGCCATCTTCGAAATCATCTTCATCATCGGCTCACTCACATTCCTTCTCAAGGTCATCCTCAGAGTGATCACGTGACCGTAAACACACTCATCAGTTTCGTCGTCCGCGCCATCTTCATCACCACCACCACAATCACCACTATGGAAATCATCGTCGTCATCTTCGAAATCATCTTCATCATCGACTCACTCATTCCTTCTCAAAGTCATCCTCAAGGTGATCACGTGACCGTCAACACACTCATCAGTTTCGTCGTCCGCGCCATCTTCACCACCAACACCACTAGGGAAATCATCGTCGCCATCTTCGAAATCATCTTCATCATCGGCTCACTCACATTCCTTCTCAAGGTCATCCTCAGAGTGATCACGTGACCGTCAACACACTCATCAGTTTCGTCGTCCGCGCCATCTTCATCAACACCACCACCACCACCACAATCACCACTATGGAAATCATCGTCGCCATCTTCGAAATCATCTTCATCATCGACTCACTCACATTCGTTCTCAAGGTCATCCTCAGAGTGATCACGTGACCGTCAACACACTCATCAGTTTCGTCGTCCGCGCCATCTTCATCACCACCACCACAATCACCACTATGGAAATCATCGTCGCCATCTTCGAAATCATCTTCATCATCGGCTCACTCACATTCGTTCTCAAGGTCATCCTCAGAGTGATCATGTGACCGTCAACACACTCATCAGTTTCGTCGTCCGCGCCATCTTCATCACCAACACCACTATGGAAATCATCGTCGCCATCTTCGAAATCATCTTCATCATCGGCTCACTCACATTCGTTCTCAAGGTCATCCTCAGAGTGATCATGTGACCGTCAACACACTCATCAGTTTCGTCGTCCGCGCCATCTTCACCACCAACACCACTATGGAAATCATCGTCGCCATCTTCAAAATCATCTTCATCATCGACTCACTCACATTCATTCTCAAGGTCATCCTCAGAGTGATCACGTGACCGTCAACACACTCATCAGTTTCGTCGTCCGCGCCATCTTCATCAACACCACAATCACCACTATGGAAATCATCGTCGCCATCTTCGAAATCATCTTCATCATCGGCTCACTCACATTCCTTCTCAAGGTCATCCTCAGAGTGATCACGTGACCGTCAACACACTCATCAGTTTCGTCGTCCGCGCCATCTTCATCACCACCACCACCACAATCACCACTATGGAAATCATCGTCGCCATCTTCGAAATCATCTTCATCATCGGCTCACTCACATTCATTCTCAAGGTCATCCTCAGAGTGATCACGTGACCGTCAACACACTCATCAGTTTCGTCGTCCGCGCCATCATCAACACCACAATCACCACTAGGGAAATCATCGTCACAATCTTCGAAATCATCTTCATCATCGGCTCACTCACATTCGTTCTCAAGGTCATCCTCAGAGTGATCACGTGACCGTCAACACACTCATCAGTTTCGTCGTCCGCGCCATCTTCATCACCATCTGCACCACCAACAATGGAAATCATCGTCGCCATCTTCGAAATCATCTTCATCATCGGCTCACTCACATTCGTTCTCAAGGTCATCCTCAGAGTGATCACGTGACCGTCAACACACTCATCAGTTTCGTCGTCCGCGCCATCTTCATCACCATCACCACCACCACAATCACCACTATGGAAATCATCGTCGCCATCTTCGAAATCATCTTCATCATCGGCTCACTCACATTCGTTCTCAAGGTCATCCTCAGAGTGATCACGTGACCGTCAACACACTCATCAGTTTCGTCGTCCGCGCCATCTTCATCACCACCACCACCACAATCACCACTATGGAAATCATCGTCGCCATCTTCGAAATCATCTTCATCATCGGCTCACTCACATTCCTTCTCAAGGTCATCCTCAGAGTGATCACGTGACCGTCAACACACTCATCAGTTTCGTCGTCCGCGCCATCTTCATCACCACCACCACAATCACCACTATGGAAATCATCGTCGCCATCTTCGAAATCATCTTCATCATCGGCTCACTCACATTCCTTCTCAAGGTCATCCTCAGAGTGATCACGTGACCGTCAACACACTCATCAGTTTCGTCGTCCGCGCCATCTTCATCACCACCACCACCACAATCACCACTATGGAAATCATCGTCGCCATCTTCGAAATCATCTTCATCATCGGCTCACTCACATTCGTTCTCAAGGTCATCCTCAGAGTGATCACGTGACCGTCAACACACTCATCAGTTTCGTCGTCCGCGCCATCTTCATCACCACCACCACAATCACCACTATGGAAATCATCGTCGCCATCTTCGAAATCATCTTCATCATCGGCTCACTCACATTCGTTCTCAAGGTCATCCTCAGAGTGATCACGTGACCGTCAACACACTCATCAGTTTCGTCGTCCGCGCCATCTTCATCACCACCACCACAATCACCACTATGGAAATCATCGTCGCCATCTTCGAAATCATCTTCATCATCGGCTCACTCACATTCGTTCTCAAGGTCATCCTCAGAGTGATCACGTGACCGTCAACACACTCATCAGTTTCGTCGTCCGCGCCATCTTCATCACCACCACCACCACAATCACCACTATGGAAATCATCGTCGCCATCTTCGAAATCATCTTCATCATCGGCTCACTCACATTCCTTCTCAAGGTCATCCTCAGAGTGATCACGTGACCGTCAACACACTCATCAGTTTCGTCGTCCGCGCCATCTTCATCACCACCACCACAATCACCACTATGGAAATCATCGTCGCCATCTTCGAAATCATCTTCATCATCGGCTCACTCACATTCGTTCTCAAGGTCATCCTCAGAGTGATCACGTGACCG